TCATGTTATCAATCTGAAATTTTGAAGATGTTCCTCAGACTTTATTCTGCTATAAGGTATAAATGGAGCATGAAATTTATGAAGGAAGATTATTCATGTGTACATCTCAAGTCAACCTCATACTCACACTGTTGAGTAATTCATTTATTTATTGAGAGGGGAGAAATTACACAAAAGTTCAGATCATTTTAGATGAAGACCTTTTTCCTAGCACAGGTGTTATAGAAGCAGCACATGTTTGACAGCTTTTGAACTTTTATGATGTTTTTCACTGCAAATACAAAAGAAGCAAAACACTGACATTTGCTTCTTTAAAGTCCCATGAAATCATTTTCACAAGACACATGAAATATTGATGCCATTTTACTTCCACCACAAAAATCAATAAGCCATTTTTGGTCAAGGTCAGACAGCAGACTTCCATCTACAGCTGAAGGTTATCAAGCCAGCTGGGAGAAACCCACAGGACACAGCAGACCTCTCCTGACTTGCCCGCTGCTCCCCTCAGCAGTGTATTTCAGTCAGTCTGCCTGTTCTGTTCCCCACTCTGTCTCTGGTGAATCCTCTCACCCCCAGCATCTCTGGCCTGTACCCCAGCTCTTGTATGCATAAATAAAAAAATCTTTAAAATAAATAAATAAATAAGCAAGCTTTTGTGAGAAAACATGTCTTCTATACTCTGATAGGTGAGTTCACCTTAATTGAAGTACAAGGTTTCTGAGGGTGGCTGAAGGAACTAAAGTTCTGTATATGTGAAACTGAGAGAGTACACTGGTCCTCAAGAAGGAAAAGAGAGTCCTCTACACAACAGCTGAAGACCACAAAATTGAGACACGATTTACCCGATATCATGGTGGAACATCTAACAGAGGGGAGGGTTTCAACGACAGACCTTACTGGCTAAAAGTGACACTACAAGAAAAAAATCAATAGTCAAGAAAGGTCAAATGCGATAGATTTTTTTTTCCAAACAGAGTGTAGATAATACTATACAAGTTGTAGGAAACACATGTCAACCAACAACAAGGCACTTAAAACTGAAATGGAAGCGATACCATACTGAGGATAATTGCTTATATTTTCTTTTTTGAACAAAATGGATCTGCAGATGGAACAACAACCACAACAAAAAACCTGAGAGAACAGTGATTATCACTATATTAAGAAAGAATGATTTTTATATTTTTATTTATATATTTTTTTAATCCGGCTGTATTTTCTAAAATAAAAAATAAATTACTTTCCTCCTTAATTATGGATTTTTTAAAATGGATAAGACTGGTTATCCAATTGTAGATGAGGGACAAGCTGAGATATTATCTGTAGCTACATAAATCTTCCCCATTAGACTCAAGACCCTCAAGGATGAGACCCTCAAGGATTCCTTCAAACCCCAAAACACTACTAACACAGGGCCTAAATACACGTTGGCTCTATTGAGAAATGTTAGCAAATGAATTTGTTTGTGGTCAAAAACACAAAGTAGGTGGCCCTGGTATAACCTCAGGAAGGTGCAAAAGGAAATGAAGTGGGAGCCTTTCTCACCAACATTTGGCAGGATTTTGAAAGGACATTCTTTCCAAAATGGTTCCCTTATTAGGTATACATCAATCATCCCTATAGATACATCAATTCATATTATAGCTTAAAGTCCCTTGCTACTAAAATCTTCCAGTAAGTCGTTTTTCCTACCTCACCTAGTTCCCTTCGATAGAACTGAGTCATGCTGATTTGATTTGCCCAGATCTTTTTCTGAAAGAAGTTATAAGGAAAACCACTATGAAGTTCCACCAGTGTTACTTGTAGAGATGTCCAGTACACTCTAATACTTTAAGAGAACCATAGGAGAGGTCTCAGATGTCAGTGCCATTAAAATAGCTCCTTTGGGGCCTCTCTGAAGGCACAAGGGGTTAAGTCTCAGCACTATGAAGCTACCAGCAGCTATTACAGCACAAGTTTGATCCCCGGACAGGGATTAACCCACATGGCACAGCAGGCCTCTCCTGTCTCACCTGTTGCTCCACTCAGCAGTGTATTTCACTCAATCTGCCTGTTCTGCTTCCCACTCTGTCTCTGGTGAATCTTCACACCTCCTCCACTCTGGCCTACACCCCAGTTCTTTTTTTTAAAGATTTATTTATTTATTTATACAAGAACCAGGGTACAGGTCAGATGCGCGGGAGGGTGAGAAGATTCACCAGAGACAGAGCGTGGACCAGAACAGGCAGACTGATGAAATACACTGCTGAGGGGAGCAGTGGGTGAGACAGGAGAGGTCTGCCGCGCCATATGGGATTCTCGCTGGCTGGCCTGGATCGAACCGGCACTGCAGAGGCTGCGGACAGCTTCAGAGCAAGGATTTCAACTGCCTACTCCACCAGGGAGGACCTACACCCCAGTTTTTGTATGCATAAAATAAATATTTTTAAAAAATAAAAAATGAAACAGCTCCTCAGGGAGACAAAAGGGATGGTGATGTAGGAAAAAAAAGGATGACATAAAATAGCTACTTCTTAGAGCATTTTAATTTTATGAGTACTAGGAATCTTGAAACTGATCTTTTATCTCTCTGCTTGAAGCCGAGAGCAAATTCTACAACCCTGCTTCACAGACTTTGCAGGACTTTATGACATCATGTCTGTAAGCTAACTTTTCCTTTCATCATTCTCCCTCCCTCTTCACCATCCTGCTTTATCTTTTTAAAAAATTCTTAATTTTTTTATCTTAAACATCTTAATGTTTTTAATATGGGAAAAGCAGGGTATAAACAATCAAGGCTTAAAAATTAAACACACTCTCCCCCATCCCACTCTCTTGGCGCCAATTCCAGGCTTGCTTCAGGTAGTTCACCCATGCAACTTGCCTGCAAGACAAGAAAGCAAAGCACAACACCACTGTCCTTGCTGCTGCCAACCAGGGAGACCTTTATGTACATTTATGACAAGAAAATGTAACTGAGGATCAGAGGCACTTTCCTTTCTACTTCCTACCCGCCAGATCTGAAATACATACCCACCCATGTCAAGGGAGCACTACTACTTAAGAGTCGAGGCTCTGAAGCCAGACTACCTGTGTTCTAGAACTGCCCAGTCCACCCCAGACAGCTGCTGACCCCAGCAAGCCACTCAACCTTTCAGAACTTTGTCTTGGCGTCCCCACCTGCACAGCTGAAACAATAAGGGTACTGACTTCATAGGCTTGTGGTGAGAAGAAAATGAGTTAATACACATAAAAGTGATTAGATCAGGCCCTGGCACACAGTAAATGTGGGCCAGTACTATAATAGGCCAGTTGTGTTTTTAATCAAGAGCTAGGTCACACCAAACTTCAAATCTGATTGAAAGTAATGTTTCTCATTGTAAATTGGTAAACCAACAAACTTATTTCAGTGGTGACCTTATTTGAGTTTGGATGTCATTTATATGTAAGTGTGGAGTCAGAGCTCTCTCCAATCAGGAGTCATTTTCAACCAATCACTTTCTGATTTCCTGAACCAAAGGAGAAAGCAGTGGTGTCAGACAATAAAATGGCTCCTGGGAAAGTATCCCCAATTTGTAATCATCCGATGGATAAATGACTTGGGGTAAATATAAATGAACACTTACACACATGACTGTCAATATCCCTCCAGCTGCAGCACAAATACAACTTAACACCTAGAAAAATGAAAAATCTCCTGAAATCTTCAGTAATCAAAGAACAACTCAGTTTTGTTGGACACTGAGGTTCTGATTTACTTGAGGTTAGAAATCTGCCACCTGCTACACACGCACTCCTCATCAAATTCTACATCCAAAGGAGTCCAATGCTAGGCACCCCCCACCTTTGCTCACAGCAGAGGCAAAGAGTCAGCAACTTTTCACACCAAGATTTAATTCCTCAGTGCTTGACTATCCCACACGTGGTATGTACATATTTTTCAAATAGAAGAACTTGAAACTGCCATTTTATGATAGCTAAGAAAGAAAACTCAATCATTACCCAAGTTGTCCGGCTTGATCAAAAACTGGAAAAAAAGAGAGTGGAACTCTATTCCTTCTAAGAAAGGTTATTTCAAAATTTGACATAAAAAGATAAACTTCAGTCTGCACTTTAAAAAAAACAACAACTAAGAGTACATCAGTCATTTATCTTCCAATGCCTACTATCCAAATGAAGGCGGGAAAGAGTTACAATTCTGAATTAAAATAAAGTATCCCTTTTAAATTCTCTTGTTTCCCAGTCCCACAGAAAATATTCTTAGAGTCAAAAATGAGTAAGGACTATCCGCCAAGAAAAGTGCTTTGAGGAACTTAGCGATTTCACCCTCTCCAGTTTAGCAGGCCAAATTACTAAGGGAGCAGAGGAAAGGACTTGAATCGCCTGATAAAGTGACACTTCCCAATCGTACTCTAGCCGAGATTACTCTGCTTCAGCCTAGACAGTCTTCTCGCCGAGAGCTGGAGTAGTTTTATAGACGTTCCTCCCAAGATCCGGGAGTCAATTTGAAAAGCTGCTGTTACTTTCAAAAGTCCCAAGGAGGCTTCGCTCGCCCACCCCACCCTGCAAGCAGCGCACTTCCCGTTCGCTCTGGCCGGTCAAGACTCTAACTAGACCATGTCACACGCTGAGAAAAAAGAGGAAGTGGCTAGGAAGCTAATTTCAAGAGAGAATCTTTTTTTTTAAGGGGCTCCCCTATTTTCCAGGAAAGCGTCAATGGGATGGAGCCATGACACTCGCTGGAAAGTTGCAGCGAATGACAAGGTTGCAAAAACCGAGAGTGGCTCCTCTTAAAAAATAAAAACATTAAAAAAAAATGCTGAAATCCTCGAAATCCTCTTGCTATTTCAAAACGATCCCTCTTCGGCAGCCAACGCAACAAAGCCAGCGACTCCCAGCCTAGTGGTCAGCTCTAGAAAGCGAGGCTCGGGTCTGGGTACGTCCTGGTCCGCTGTTGCCAACTGGCAGGGGCGGCGCGGGGTACCGGGGAGGCGAGGGGACTCCGCGAGGACCTCTCTTACCTGGTTTGACCGGTTTAGGTGGCGGCTTCGACATCTTGCTTCCTGGAGCGGCTGATCCTAAAGACCACGCACAAAAAGCCTGCGGATCTTCCCACCAGCCGGCACTCCCGGCGCCCCAAAGTTTCTTTTTGTCTGGATGACAGCGGTGCGCCTCCAACGCCCTGCGCCCACCCTCGGCTTGGGGACGAGCGCACGCAGGAGCCCGGCTCTGCTCGGCGCTCCGCCCCGCCCCGCGGCCGCCCGGACGGTCCCGCGAGCGCGACACCGAGGACGAGGAAGTGGCCGCCTGGCCGCGCGCTAATTGGCTGCCCTGCGAGCCGCTCCGCCGCCGGGGGGGGGCGCGGGGAGAGCGCGGGTGGCGCGCACGGCGGCGCGCGCGGCGGCGGAACCCGTCGGGGCCGAGCAGGGCGCCCCGGTCTCGCGCCGCGCTGGGAAGGGGCCGGACGGTGCAGGGGCGCGCGCGTGAGGCTACGCTCGCCGGAGCCCCGCCCCGGCCAGCGGGGACCCGGGCGGACCGGGCCCGGCCTGGCTGGCACCGAAACCCTTGTAGCCAAGCCACCTGCGTTAGTGGCGACGCGGGGGAGCGCGGGGCCAGGGACTGTGGGCCTCAGGGAAGCCTGCTTCGGGGGTGCGGCTGGTGACAGGAGTGCTCGGGGCCTTCACCTGGGACTAGTGCCAGGTGAGTAGCGCCCTGGACCCGCCGCGCTTGCCTCGCTCCGAGGTGTTTCCCTGATGTTGCCGCGCTGGAGTCGGATCCCGGTTGAGTCTGGTAAACCCTGCTGGGAACATTACCCTGAAAACGGGCTGAAAGCTGGCCTGGAAAGGGGGACACGTACTCAGGAGGGCGTGGTGCTTTTACGCCCCATAATCTTTAAAATGAAAACGTACAGATTGTTGGAGAAAGCATCAGGGACAAGGTCAGCTCTTGGTCCCAAGGGAGGAGGAAGACTTTTATTCCTTAGCACTGGAATTGACAAGCCACGACCCGCCTTTCCCCGTTTTCGTAATCCCTGCTTATTGAGAAATGTTTTTACATTTTTAAATGGCTGAAAACGCAAAAAAAAAAAAAAAATGTGGCACGTAAAAATTATATGAAATTCAAATTTCAGTGTCCATAAAGTTTGATTAGAACACAACCATGTTTATTTGTTTATGTATTGTCTGGGACCACTCTCACTTCGCACCACCAGAGAGGTTTGTCTATCCCTTACCTGATAGATTGATTCTTCAGTGGGAGACAAGTGCTGACACACAAGAAATGCTGCATGCATAAGGTGGAAAGAGCACAGTCACTGTTGTTATGTTTAGGGAAAGAAGAGAGAATTGAAAATAAAACATTACACGAGAATCTACATAAAATGAAACTTCAGAATTTTTACTAGGGTTAGTGAAAGGATTGATTCCAAGGGAAAGGGGCATGGTTTGTTTATTCATGAAAGTGTTTACCAAGAAGGAGCAAAGTCTAATCAGTAGTAGAAAGAGATTTTCCTAAAGCATGGAAGGTAACAATCAAAATATCTATTGGGTAGATACTTACAAATACCAAGCTGCTCTTGAGATGTATTTAAAAAAATACAAAAACAGAAACACGTTTTGGGCCTCCCTGGTGGCGCAGCAGGTTGAGCACAGTGCTGTGAAGCTGTCCGCAGCCTCTGCAGCACTAGTTCGATCCTCAGCAGGCCAGGGAGCTACCCACATGGCATAGCAGACCTCTCCTGTCTCACCTGCTGCTGTCCTAAGCAGTGTATTTCAGTCAGTCTGTCTGTTCTGTTCCCCAGTCTGTCTCCAGTGAATCCTCTCACCTCCTGCACCTCTGGCCTGTACCCCAGTTGCATAAATAAATATGGATAAATAAATAAATCTTTAAAAAAATGTTTTGGTAGCATGGTATCTCTCAGATCATTTGTTACTGTCTTCTTTATAATCTGCTGATTCTGCCCATGGCAGCCCTGACCATTTTGCAGTTTAGAATACATAATGAACCATGTTTAGAAATTAAATTTAAAAAAATAAACCTAATGATGGAAAAAGCACTATACAACATGTTAGTTAGGGTAAAAAATACATCAAACTTACTCATTTGGGGTTTGCACTTGGCTGTCTTAGTCTGTTCTTCTCCTGTGCTAATATTCTGCTGTTGAGAAAAACTTTGCATTTATTGAAAGACTAAAGTCTATAAATATCCCATGAGGTTGGAGTACATACTAGTAAGGGATACCCTGGTTTGACAATGCTGGAAAGTCCAAATGGTTGTCTCTCCAGAGACATCCAATAATTTATAGTTTGTAGTTGATGAAGTTTGTATTTATTTCATGAAGTCTGTTGCTTGTGTGCCTTTGAAGCCTGGCAACCCAGGGTTGCAAAATTTTAATTTTTTTTAAAGATTTAATTATTTATACAAGCACTGGGTACAATCAGAAGTGTGGGAGAGTGAGAGAATTCACCAGAGCCAGAGCGGGGAACAGAACAGGCAGACTGACGAAATACACTGCTGAGGGGAGCAGAGGGCACAGCAGGAGAGGTCTGCGCACCATGAGGGACCCTCGCCAGCGGCCAGGGATCAAACTGGCGCTGCAGAGGCTTGGGGCAGCTTTGCAGCCAAGCGCTCAACCGCTGCGCCAACAGGGGAGGCCTGCAAAATTTTAAATTTTTAATTATAGTTTTTAAACAGGACAACAGGCAATGAAATATCGGAACGTGGTATAGAGGTGAAAAATACGAGGCCTGAATGTGGAGTTCACTGGAGACTTCCCTGTGCCTCCAAAAGAGTTATTGAATTAAATGACTTCCAAGATTGCTATGTCCAGTCCCCACCCCAATAATGTGGCCCTGTCTCATGTCTAGCTTTTGTTTGCTTTCCCACCTCTCCCACAACATTGTTGCCTGCTCATTGCTAATGAACTGTGCCCAGCATTTACTCAAACACTATCTTGGGCAGGCTATGACTTCCATCTAATGTAGAATTGAGAGCTCCGGTTGTAGTAAACTTGCATTTGACTGTGGGAGTTTGCTCAAGAGATTGTATAAGATGGTTCTTGACTCTCATGCCTCGGTTTCTGAATTTCTAGAGTTTCCACCCAGGTGACCTCCTCAAGCCTACTTCCAGTGCCACAACCACACTCAATTGTCTATATGCTATATTATATAGCATCCTCAGATATATGCACAGATGTAGCAAGAAACATAGTACTCCTTGCCATTCAGTGTGCACAACAAATGTGTATGTGTGTGTGAAGAGATATATACCATCAGTAACACATCAATAAAAAAGACATCAGTTATACATGAGACTCAGTTAGCCAGCTTATGTGCAACATCCTTTATTTGCTCTTGGTGATGAAGTACATTTTAGCAGCTTGAAAAAATAGAAAGAAATTATCTTGCTTGGTTTAGTTTCTTTTCTGGCTATTCATCTACCAGCTGTGTGACCATGGGCAAGTTACTCCACTGTCTGTGCCAGTTTAGATTGTGCAAACTGAAGGGGCAGACCAAGTGAGCTCCAAAACTATACTTCTCCAGACTTGAGAGTTTATGCTCTGACAAACTATCCAAAAATAAGCAAAGTGGGGCAAGGAATGACGTTTTGTAGGTTTTGGGTTTTTTTGGTCAACTGAGGACATTTGTCCACTATATACTGCCAAATTAATTTCATAGGAATAAGAACATCACCAGAACAGTAAAAAAGTTATCATCTCAGGATAAAGGGCAACCTTTCCTATTCCATAAAGGGATAGTTGGCAGCCCTGTACTGACATTAAAAGTAAGTGTAGGATAAAATAAACTCAAAAGCAGAAAAATTTATTTTATGGCACATGTTATATGCAGTCATTCCCCAATAAACAATTGGCAATTTGGATGGAGGTATATATTCAACAGTGCAAATCTAGATGAAGTCAGATGCCCAACTTGTTACTTGATTTTTATCACTGGATTATCCACATTCTATAGAAGACATCCACGCTGTACACAGCTTCTCCTTGCCACTATTGAATTGTCTTGTGTAGGCTTATTAATGAAAGTGACACTAAACCTTAAGCAATTGAACTCAATTTGGAATATTCTGATCGCCCCACAACCTCCCTCTTGGGGAAGTCTGAACACAGGTCAAGGACAGAAATCGCAAGGCTGCTGGAAGTTTCCAGCTCAGGGGCCATTCTGAAGTACAGCTTAGGTCCCTAAATCACCTAACTGGAACAGTCAGGGATAACCTTTTGGAATGACCATTTTAAGGTTCCCTGCTCCTGAGCCACCATTCACTTAAAATGAAATGGTCCATTGGGATATCCACAGGTGAGCCTCGGAGCCATTGCAAAACTGTCTTCTCCCCCTAGACCACTGGGTCAACAAATAATGGCCAGTGGCTGAAACCTTCAGGGAACATCTGCAGTCCATTTCATGATCTGGAACATGAATTTTGAATTCAGCCCAATAAAGGAAATGTTAATCTCAACTGAAAAAAGGAATTTCAGGGTGGCATGGCTTGGTGTGGTAACACACATGGGAAGGGTGTGAGCCTGTACCTCTAAATCGTATAGTGCTGTAAACCAGAGTTTTCTCAATTTTAAAAAAATGTCGTTCCAAGGAAGAAAAAAATAAGGAATCCCATTCTTCTCGTTAATACAGGCATTACCACAAAAAAAATATTCAATTACTATCATGTTTTGGCTCATAAAAAATTATGGAAATTTCTCATTTTAGGAGTACCTACATAATAGCCTTGATTTTGTCTCTTGGCTCACAAAGCCTCAAATATTTACTATATGGCTTGTTTGTGGAAAAGTTTGTCTATCCTAACCCCAGACCTAGGCTTCTGGGTGAGGAAATAGGCCAATAGTGAATTTCCCCCCTTTTCAGAAAGAGAGAAAGAGGGGCTTGCTTCATGGGTTCCCTGCTGTGGGGGTACTGGGGCATCTCCAGGTGATTGAATCATGAAGGTGAACGTGACCTAACTCAGGAGAGTATGAGTCTTTGTAGTGCGCTCTGAGGCCAAGCAACTTTTTCTCACTCTTAAAAAACAACCTGCTAGGATATAGGCTTGGCCATGCAGGCCCTGGCAGTTCACTGGACTTGCAGGCTGTCAGCATACACCAGCCATTCACACTCACTGGTGGAGAGTGGCAGGGAGAAGCCAGTATACAGTATGGATAATCTGTGGGGTAAATTGGAGATTGTGGTCATCTTTCCCCCTCACCTGGCCCTCTGAATTAGAACTTTCTTTTCTCTCTTTAATCATCTAAATGATATGCATTCATTTTTTTTTTAATTTTAGGAAGACGTGGTTTTCAAAGTTTATAATGAAAACATTTGTCATTGGAATCAGTGGGTGAGTAATTTTGCTACAAACACCTGGTTAAGATATTCACATGTCTAAAGGGTATTTTCTTATGGACATGGTGGGAAGAACAGCAGTGAGGATTCCTGAATCTTAGAGAACAGTGGAATGTTGGCTACATAAATGCCAACAGAGAGATGCGAGTGTTTCCTCTAAAAAGAGAAACGTGTCAGTAAAGAGTTGGCCTGCTGTACCATTTACTTCTGGAGCTGACACTACAGGCAAGGCGTAATCAGACACTTCCCCAACTTGGGGTGATTTATAATTCTCCATATGGCTGCTACTTCAGCAGGAAGGAGGAGAAAATCTATCATTTCTTTCCTGACATGCCCAGTTTTAGACATTTTGAATATGGAACCACCTCATCTCACTCCTTTTCCCCTATACTTAGGGTGACCTTATATCCTGAGCTCGTCCCTATTGCTCTGGCATAATTATTAGTAGTGTGTCCCTCCCCTTCTCAGAAGTGTCCTAAATTTTATTGCCACTCTACCTAAAGTACCAGGGGGCATGCAAAAAAGACATCAACAACTCAAGAGGACATTATTTGTATTATATTCATTTCTTTTCTGAGTATACTCACATTAGGTGTGGTTCAATTAATTAACAATTTAATATTTAGTGAAAGGTTTGTGATTTGGGGGAGATCATTTTATTATTATATTGTTAAAGTATTAAATGACAGAACTCTGCTCTGTCTTGCTTCCATCTAATCAGAACCAAAATTCAGTGTGGCGCTGCATTGCTTCTCTTGTGTGTTCCCTCCTATCCACACTCACCGCCACTGTCCTAATTCAGGGCCTCACTCCTTAATTCCAGTTTCCCCGCTTCCCGTAACCTTTCCATATACCTCCATCGGGTTAAACTTTGTACAAAAGTTTTTAAATTATTGTTTCATTGCTGAACAATATTCCATGGTTTCCAGTTATCTAGAATGACATTGGAATTTCCTGGTATGTTGAATACCATCCATAAACAGTAAAAGAAATTATTAGCTTCAGGAGTAGATAGGTTGAAGGAAAGACTTGATGTAGACCTCAGTGGTGTTACCAAAGACTCAGTTTTCTCTTAGACTCTTCTCTGTGTCTTCATGTGGACTCACTGTGGAGTTGGCTCCATTTTTTTTTTTTTTTTTTTAATGACAAGGGGCTACCAGCAGCTCCTGGGACTTCTTAGCTCATCTGCCATTAGAGGGGGGGAAAAAAAGTGTTTCTCTTCCCCTAGGTCATGGGTCTCCCTTCACATACCTACAGTCACTGTGGCAAAAGCTAAGGGATTTTCTTAATTAGTTTAGGTCATGGGGCCTTGCACAGAGTTGAGAGTGGGGTCAGTCCTAAACAGAAATCAGAAGAAGGAATGGAATCTGGGGAAGCAACTATCATGTTCACTATAGGATCCAACCCAACTTTCATTCTCCATGTGTGAATAAAAGTACCCTCTTCTTGTATTCCAGGATGATATCCTCTGTCTAGAAGCCTGCCTCAGGCTTTCTTGCCAATGCATTAGAAACTACCCATAACTTCCTAGAAAGCCTCTTCAGCACCTGTCTCTTTCTCAGCAAGTGTCAGGATTTCATTTTAGTGCAATTGCTGCTGCCGAATCAGTGAAGCTCTTGCCAGAGTCAGCTGCCATGACCTCTACCACTGCCTTTATTCCTTCCTCCACTGTGTTGTAGATTTCTTATGTACATACCACACATATTTGTGTTGTATGAAGTATTGTTCCAGTTGAGACTGCAAGGAATAGTAGGGGTTCCTAAAGGATTCAAGGAGCATCATGAACCTCCTGAAAATTTAATGCATGTTCATATTTTAGGGGAAAGATTTTATAACCATCATCAGATTCTTACAGCATTCATGATGCTAAGAAATGTAAGCTCCATGGGTGCTGGGAGTTAGACTTTGTATCTCATTTCCATTATTTGCTAGTTGTTAACTTGGACAAGTTTTATGGGTATATGACTTTTCTTTTTTTTTTTTTTTAATAGAGGCATTTATTTATTTATTTATTTATTTGTTTGTTTGTTTGTTTGTTTATACATGCACTGGGTACAGTCAGAAGCGCGGGAGGGTGAGAGAATTCACCAGAGCCAGAGCAGGGAACAGAGCAGGCAGAAGGACCGAAGTACACTGCTGAGGGGAGCAGCGGGCGGCAGGAGAGGTCTGCGCGCCATGTGGGACCCTCCTCCTGTGGCCGGGGAGCAGCCGGCGATCAAACCGGCGCCGCAGAGGCCGCGGTCAGCTTCGCAACCAACCCAGCACTCAACCGCTGCGCCACCGGGGAGGCCCGGTATATGACTTTTCAATCCTTTGTTTCCTAAATTGGAAAATTGGACTATTATAGCTACTTGTGTGGCATTATTCTCCACCTATTTGCATAAATGCAGTTTTTAACTTCTCTCTATCCCACTGTCACGTTCCAAATACTATGACCCCTATTGGCAATTGGCATGTAAAAAAGTACATGAACCAGGACTTGTGCATATATTTGGGTGTTCTGAATAAGTAAGGAAGTTGGTCCAAGTAGTCAGTCACACATTTTCTTTCGCTTGATCCTAGGAGAGAACACACTCCTGTATTAGCACGGGAAAATTTCATAACATTTTTTTCAATGCATAGGGTAACACCCAGCCATTTTCCTTGTTTTCGAAGGGGTTGCTCATATCCTATCTAGCTGTATATTCTAAGGTTAAATGAAAAATCTTGTAAATTACATTCCTTCTACTTCATAGACATAAGGTATTTTGAGGAATAAACACTAGTTCCTTTTCCCTCTTCTGATGATAAATAATACATCTCATCTGGGAGTAAGCACATCTGGGATTAAGGTTCTTGTAATGTGCAGTCAGGAATTTTTTGTGGTATGGACATTGGTAGTATCGTGATTTCTTGACTTATCAGGGTAATGATTTAAAATGGACAAAATAAAATACACCAATGCAAAGGAATCCTGTTATATTGAAATATAGTTATAAAATATTTTTTAAAATAAAGGGTGAGATAATATATAACACTTCTTGTTATTAAATAACATGGTCCAGTAGTGGGTCAAAAAATTGCCATAAATCAGAATAATAGAGATTGTCATTGATGCTTCAAGTTATCTCCCCGACTATAACCTAATACAAAGATATCTGTGATTTCCATTGGTGACAAAGTCATAGCTGCTATTGTTACTCCTATACTATTATTACTTATATTTAATATTAAAGGATATGCCAAATTTCTTTTGGAATGAGTGAAAATAAAGAAATATATTTTCCATTCAAATCCCAAGACCCTGAATTTGTTCACTGATCATTTGTAAGTGTATCAGCCCTGGGTTCAAAAACTGAAAAAAAGCTCACTAGAGAAGTGCTTCCCATGTGCTAGATGGTGCTAGATGCTGGAAAAGTAAATACATAGTGGAGTTAGAGTCCCCATTGTTCTCCATGTCACAGTCCAGCCAGGAGGGACAAGTAACTGGATAAGCGACAGTGGACCTCCCATTTAGCCCCAAAGAAGAGAGAGACAAAGAGAAAAGGAAGTCATAGTTATAAAGTTAAATTGTGAATTCATGATAGATGGACGTGTAATAAGCCACTCCTGCCTTTTTCTCCACTCTGCATTAAAACAAAAAAAATCACTATGACATACATAGTTTTATATACTTGTACTATTATAAAATGTGCTACTCATATTCTGTTACATATGAACCATGTGAATATTTCACCATAGACAAAAAATTCTTTTGTTTCCAGTACAACATCTGTATTTTTAAGTCTTAGTATTACCCAGCTCACTTACCCAACTTTTCTCTAATCCTTCCCAGCTTCTTATGTTACTTAGATTTGTTTGTTTGATTTTGCCAACAGAAAATGCATTATATTTTTTAAAGATTTATTTATTTATGCATACAAGAACTGGGTACAGGCCAGAGGCAGGTGGGGGCTGAGATGATTCACCAGAGACAGAGTGGGGAACAGAACAGGCAGATTGACTGAAATACACTGCTGAGGGGAGCAGTGGGCAAGACAGGAGAGGTCTGCTGCGCCATGTAGGTTGCTCCCTGGCTGACTGGGGATCGAACTCATGCTGCAGAGGCTGTGGATAGCTTCATAGTGCTGACACTTAACCCCTTACACCACCAGGGAGGCCCAGGAAGAAAATGCTTCATATATGTCAATAATTTTTCATTTTTTTTATTGACAGTAATTTTTCTTATCACATACTTTTAAATATTAGTTTTCTAAGGTAATTTTAAAGTGTCTGATGATTTTCTAATGTATTTTCCTTCTTTTGTTTTTTTCTCCCCCTTGGTTCAGTGTGACAAATGGTGGAAAGACAACACTGGCTAAAAATTTGCAGAAACATTTACCTAATTGCAGCATCATATCTCAGGATGATTTCTTTAAGGTACCTATAAAACTTAGATAATTTATTTTAAACAAAAAAGTTCTAGTTGTAAACTTAAGTTACTATCAATATATAAAAGCATTTACTAAGTGATAATGTCTGTAGTGAAGGTAGACTCAATGCAATAGTATTACTTATCCACTAGATGGCACCACTAATGGATGAGGATCTTTGATTTTATCCTTTTTTTTGTTTAAAAAAAAGATTTATTTATTTATTTATTTATTTATTTATACAAGCACTGGGTACAGTCAGAAGCGCGGGAGGGTGAGAGAATTCACCAGAGCCAGAGCGGGTAGCAGAACAGGCAGACTGACGAAATACACTGCTGAGGGGAGCAGCAGGCGCTGCAGGAGAGGTCTGCGCACCATTGATTTTATCCTTATCAGCCAAAGTATTTATAATCATTTCTTCATTCTGTAATTTTATTATTTCTGCATTGCAGTTTTAATGGATACCTATTATTTTTCCAGCCAGAGTCTGAGATAGAGAAAGATAAAAATGGATTTCTGCAGTATGATGGTAAGTAGATGAGCTTTAAAACATATGCTAATAATCATTTTCTCTTTCAAACCCAAATAACTTCACTATTTATGAAAACAGTCTCAAAAATGTGTTTAAATATACTTTTGTACTTTCAACCTACTTTTGTAAAAGTTTCTGATTTTTGTTCAGCTACTTAAATAAATGAAATATTTACCGTAATTTTGTAATTGAAACTGAAAACACTGGAATGAGAAAGATTTTTCCTCCAAAGTTGGAGCAAGGTGAGTTTGCTATTATTTTACAATATGGTATGGCTGGGGCATACCAACTATACTCCTCTTCCCATCCCAACTTCCATCTCACCTGGAACAAACTCTTAGCATTTAATTTTGGAGCTTTCTTTTCCAGTCACCAAGGTACTAGGCTGCTGTTTTTTTCTTTTCACTACTCAAAAAAATTAGTGAATGTTTTTTAGATGAATTCTCCTCACTTTGGTCAGGCTATCATCAGACAACATTTATTCTCCTGTAGAGAATATCATGCCAATAAACTACATTTAATGGTTTTCTCAACTTTTATTAATCAACAAGATCATCACTAAATGCTTGTACAAAATACTTTCTACTCTGGGTTTTTTTTGTTTGTTTGTTTGTTTGTTTGTTTTGTTTTTTTGTGGAACCTTTGCTGGCGGCCGGGGAATGAACTGGCGCTGCAGAGGCTGCGGGCAGCCTCACAGCCCAGCACTCAACTGCTGCACCACCAGGGGAGACCCTACTTTTGTATTTTTTTTTTAATTTTTCATAATACAGATGTTTCATGCATACTGATTTGTCAATGCTACGATTTAAATTTAGCTAAAATGTTTGTTATTAGATATTTTGAAAGGTAAATGAAATACTATTATACATTTATAAAACCCTGGATATACTCATAAAAAGCTGCATCATAAGACTTTTAGTTGCACTGACTTCATGCTTCTGTGTGTTTGTCTTTAGTGCTTGAAGCACTTAACATGGAAAAAATGATGTCAGCCATTTCCTGCTGGATGGACAGCCCAAGACACTCTCTGGTATCAACAGACAGAGGAAGCAGTGAGGAAACTTCCATTTTAATCATCGAAGGTTTCCTTCTCTTTAATTATAAGTAAGCATCCTCACTTGAATAATGACTCAATAAATGGAGAAAATACCCTATGAGCTAAATGTGCTGTTATTTTAGGCCCCTTAACACTATATGGAATAGAAGCTATTTTCTGACCATTCCTTATGAAGAATGTAAGAGGAGGAGGAGGTAAGTTTTGAAATCACCATTTTGGATTATAATTCAAATGACAAAATTTAGGAAAAACAAGGAAAACAGCATTATTGTGTTTATATAATTGAGTGTACATGTCATTTTTCTAACAAGGGAAGCCTCAATTCTTTTACACAAACAACAAACTTTTTTCTAACATAAATGGTCATCCATGTGGAGTAACACAAATTATCTAAGAAAAGGCACTTATGCAAATTATTTGACTCACTTCTCCTGAATCCTCAAATGAAGCAATCACATGTTGATTATATTTTTTTAATTAGCTGAGTTTATATTTTTTAATTCTTTAGTAAAGTATTAGAAGGGAAAAACTTAATTATGAATGATATTCAGTAAACCACAAAGTTAATTTTGATTTAGAGAACTAAAATCATTTTATTGTCTTTGTAACTGGTCATGAATCCAAAATAGGTGGTCTTAATCCTGTTTAGATTCAGACTGTGTGACTTTCCCATTACCCTGACCATTATTACTTTACCTTATCAATGTGTGCTTCTATTAACATAGAGCTTCCTGCATTTTTGCACAGTACAAGAGTCTATGAGCCTCCAGACACCCCAGGCTACTTTGATGGCCATGTGTGGCCCATGTATCTAAAGCACAGACGGGAAATAGAGGACATCACCTGGGATATCAGTGAGTGCCTTCTCTCCCTCCATAAAAGGCTTTTTTTGGATCACTGCCTCAAAGGACCTTCGGAGGCATTTTTTTCACGTATTAGATTATAAAAGAACTCTAAGCTTGAACATTTTCCTACAACTGGCTCTCCTGGTTTCTCTTTGTCTCTTTGGCTCTTGTCAAAGCTTGTCAACTTCTAGAGGGTCATCCATTCAACACCTATTGAATGCCTTTCATGTTCAAGGTACTACACTAGTGATACCAAGGGACATGAGGCAGACCCAGTCCCTAACTGTATGGAACCAGCATTCTGTTGTCTGTGAACAGACAGTAAACACACTGACTGCACAACCATGTACTTTCTAGCCAGGGGGACTGCCCAGGTCCCAGTACTCGGAGAAAGTGAGCGAGCCACATTTAATCTACACTCTGACAGGTTTAACTGGATAATAAAGGGGTATAAAAAGAGATTGGTTATGGGGATAGAAGATGACCCCAGACAGTAGGTATGGCACATTGAACAGCTAGAGGGCAGGAAGGAATGAGCAGCATCTGAGAGGTTCCTATGTCTGTGGTAGAGAAACCAAGGGCAAGAGGCAGTGCTGGAGATACAGCAAGGGCAAGGCCTACATATTCTAAAAGAATATGGAAGCTCTCTACAGAGAGGTTTTAAACAAGGAAATCGTAGATATCAAATTCTTGTTTTAGTAAGATCTCTCTGACTGTGGAGGTGTGATAGTGGACATACACACTCAACAGAACTGGGGAATAGAACAGATATGGAGGGTGAGGGAAATTGAGGTGTTGAGAATAATACCTTGGAAACTGACAGATTTTTTGTTTTGTTTTGTTTTGCTTTTTGAAAACAGAAAAATATAGGAATTGCACATTCGTAAGGTAGGAGTGTCAGTCTGTTTTACACATAATAAGATTGGGATGCCTGAGAGATAGAAAGCAGTGATTTGGGGGTAAATATCGGCCTGGCCTAAGAACATTTTACTGGGATACAGAGCTTAACAGTGAAGACACAGGAGGCTGGAGGGAGCTACCCGCATGGCGTACCAGACCTTTCCTGACTTGCCCGCTACTCCCCTCAGCAGTCAATCTGCCTGCTCTGTTCCCCACTCTGTCTCTGGTGAGTCCTCTCACCCCTCACACCTCTGGCCTGTATCCTGTTCTTGGATGCATAAATAAATACATCTTTAAAAAAAAAACCTGACATATACTTTCATAATAGAGGAAGTTCCCGTTTGTAAGAAGTTTTATGGCTTCTAGAGTGGCTGTTAGAGCCATGCCAAAAGCCTGTAGGGCCTCCCCAGGCTATGGCAGCCATTATGATCCTTTCTTTAATTCCATTCCACCCACCTCTTTACCCCTCGAGCTGCTGCTGAGGTGTGTCCACACCACTTATAGCTTGGACCATAGTTATAGGTCCAGCCTCTTACTGCCCCTGCCTTGCTGAAATGCCTTCAAATAGTCTCCAGCCCTAGGGATAAAGTCTCCACAACCAGACATCAAGACTTGTAAGGACGAATGCACAATTGTGCTCTAAAATCTCTGTACTCTTTCTGCCTCTCTACCTCATAGCCTTCCGAAACTCTGCATCTTCTTAACTGGTGGAATTCTCTCTGCCAGTTTTCTAACTACAAGTTCCTTTCTTTCTTTTAACCTAGATAACTTCTACTTTTTCTCCAAAACTCTGGGTTTGGAAGATTCTGATTCAGTACAGATAAGGCAGTACCCATACCCCTGCATGGTTTAAGAAACTTCACAGGTTAGGGGCCTTCCCGGTGGTGCTGGCGGTTGAGCGCAGCACTCTGAAGCTGTCCACAGCCTCTTCAGTGCCAGTTCTATCCCTGCCGGCCTTGGAGCAACCCACATGGCGAGCAGACCTCTCCTGTCTCTCCTACTGCTCCCCTCATCAGTGTATTTCATCAGTCTGCCTGTTCTGTTCCACGCTCTGTCTCTGGTGAATCCTCTCACCCTCCGGCACATCTGGACTGTACCCTGGTTCTTGTATAAATGAAAATAAAATCTTTTAAAAAAAAAAACTTCACAAGTGATCCTTATGCTGTTTCTTTTTCTTTCTTAAAAATTAATTTTATATCACATAGCGTGCATTCTCTATATAAAACTCAGAATATTTACCTATTATCCCTGACTGTAATCTATTTCTCTCCTTAATAGCTATTAATTTCTTTTTAATTTATGGTCCTGAGCTCTTTGGTTAAAACTATCTGCATTTCAAGCAATGTCAGGTGCCAGAGTAAACACCTGTATTAATAAGCCTGTTTGCATTTGTAACTGCTCTCTTCTCCCCTTCTCAGTTTACCTAGATGGAACAAAATCTGAAGAGGACCTCTTTTCACAAGTGTATGAAGATCTAATACAAGAACTGGCAAAACAAAAATGTAAGGATTGGTCTGTTGAAGTGGATGGTGAAGGAATAGGCAGGAAACTCATTCATGACATTCCTGAGAGTAGCATACTAGAGTGCTGGTATAAGAGGGATGATATCCATTCACCCATTGCTTTGAAGACAATTCAGAATCAGAGATTCTGGACTTGGGGCCTTGATTATTTTGTTGATGAGGCTTTTTAAAAGTGAAACATTTATCCATTTTATATCTCTTAATGCTCCTAATGATATGTTAGTTAAAAATTTTTAGTAGATAGCTGTTATTTCTATGGATTTGAAATTATTCTTTGGGCAAATGACTTCTCACATCTTGCCCACTGCTTCTCTTAGCAGCATATTTCAATAAATTCCCCTTTTCTGTTTTCCAATTTAAAAAAAGGAATTCTTCGTTGGGTCAAGTAAAGCTAAAATGATGATTATCTCATTTCAATATATCTAACATATCCCTTCATTATTCCTCTTAAATATTTTCCATGGATATCTATTTCCTAAATGCCTCAAAACCCCCAGAAAATTAAAAATATATATTTATTTAATGTTTGTTTAAGGTTTTCATTCTAAATGACATATTTTGCAAATCCACCTTAATCTGGTTTAAGCAGAAAGTTAGGGGCCGCACTGGCTTTAGGCTCAGCTAGATTAAGGAGCTCAAATGGGTCTCTGCCTCATTCCACTTTCTGTTTGAGTTTATTTTGAATTCAGGCCTTCCACTCACAGATACCTTTGTTGGCAGCACCATTCTCCTAACTCCAACAACCCAATAGAAAAAGACAGTTTCCTTTTTCAAGATTGCCCATGAGTTGATGAATGTTGGAGCTAGGTGGATACAGGGGGCTTTTATGTTTGTTATTACTACTTTTGCATATGTCTAAAATTCTTCATTTTAAACAGAAAGCATTTTTCTACTTTAGCTCAGGAATATGAGCTTTATAGGTAATAATTTGATTTGACCTTATGACGTTAGCCAAAAGCTCCTGATTTAAGAGGAGAAATTCCCTAAAAGGAAAGAAGTGTAAGAGGTACAAACCAGAAGAAGGATGAAAATGCAGGATGGGAGAACAAAATTATAGATCTAGTTGTTAAACTTGAACTAAAAGGGTTTTCATGGCTAACATGTAAAATGTAACCATCAGCTGGCTTGAGAAAAGACAGCATCAGTCACTCCAGCAATGAAGTATATTTCATGCATTTTTGGTGAAAAGCAACAACCCTAGTCTAAATGTCATCATCTCTCAGTAAGAATTAGATTTCCTGGGTTCTAAGTAATTCCTGTCCAACTACGGACTGTGCCATTGATCCTACACACTCCTAATTTCAGCATCAGCTCTTCCTGTAGGCATGAGCCCATCTGAAGAAATTTTTAGGTCCACTTGGAATCCTTGCCAGATATGCCTGCCCACACCGGCCATCTGTTAATTTGATGAAAGGCAGGCCTCATAATGGGGCCCAGGGCCTCAGCACCAGAATGAAGGAAGGGGTCAGCCTTCATAATTGATAGCACCTTGGCCACTTTTTTGAGAATTATTGGCTCCCTTTCTGACCATAATGAGATACTTCAGGGGCATTTCAGCTGCTAGACACCTAAACCTCTCAATTTTCTCCATAATGGCCTGTGCTCAGGTCCAATTCTTCAGACACTGGAGTTTGGCTTTATGTTCTACCTACTAATAAAGATGAAAGGAACCTTGATGTAGCTCAGGCAAATTGCACCTACTTCCATATCAAAATGCCAATTTCACCATCTTTTCAGCAGGCAGCTTTTGATAGATACTGTAAGCTCACAAGAAAGTACATTTACATATGTGTGACACCCTCCTCTTTCCATGCCTATTTCCTAGAAGTTTATAAGGAAGTATTCAATTCTATTTCTTAAGGTTATCTCAAGAATTGTGTTATAGATATTAGGTAGAGTTTAAAAAATGATTTAAAAATAACAAATATTAGTAGAGACATAAAATTCAAAGCAAATCAACTTCTCCTACCTCCAAGAGCCATTAGTTGTTTTCCAGTTGTATAAATAAGTTGCTGTTATCTATACAAACCCACCACTTCTCCTAGTTCTTTCACAGTGCCTTGGTGAAGCCAGCCTATAGTCTTAGATTGGTGTAACCCTTAGTTTGGAACTGAGCTAGTACTGAGGTCTTTCAGATGTTTCAACTGAAAACTCTTCAAGCTTCTCATAACATCTTATAAACCTGCTTATCTATATTCATTCTGTGCATTTAAAATCATAATTGAGATAAAGTAATAATAATGAAGGGAAAATAACAAAGACCGAATTTCATTATTAGTGAAACAAATGGTCCAGCAGAGTAAAGATATGAAGTCATATGTTTAATCCTTATTTAAATCCAGATTTGGGGCCTCCCTAGTGGTGCAAGGAGTTAAGCACTGCACTGTGAGGCAGTCTGCAGCCTCTGCAGCATGAGTTCAATCCCCAGCCAGTCAGGGAGCAACCTACATGATGCAGCAGACCTCTCCTGTCTCACCCGCTGCTCCCCTCAGCAGTGTATTTCAGTCAGTCTGCCTGTTCTGTTCCCCGCTCTGTCTCTGGTGAATCCTCTTGCCGCCCCCCGCCTCAGCCCCTGCATCTCTGGCCTGTACCCCAGTTCTTATAGGCATAAATAAATAAATCTTAAAGAAAATAAATAAATAAATCCAAATTTGACGAAAAATTTAAAAATTATCTGTTTTCACAATAACAAGGCAGTCTAGTCACCAGGAACATTCAAATTCCCTTTAGCACTAGTTATTTTAATCTTGTTATTAAAGCATATTAATTATTTTAAAGAATTTTTAATATAAAGGCAAAAGAGGAAAAATAATGACTGGTATTCCCAGCCGTTAGCAAGTTAACATTTTAACGAGTATAAACCTAATATTGATGATATTCACATCAGTCTCTCTTACATGGCTACCTGGTTAACTGCTGTGCCTACTTCTGTTTTAAAATTGTTATTTAATATTTAAGCAGCTTTCTAGAAAACTCACTATATAATGAAACTAAATAGTTCTTGCTGTTAAAGGAATCAGGCTGAGTTCTACTATGCCCATTGAAAATGAACTGTAAGACTTGATATTGAACCTTAATGCAGAGGAAAGATGTCATATGCCTAGTTTCAAGGCAAAGGAATAAACAATTAATTGCAAATTAATTCAGTAGTCTAATTTTTGAATTTTTCTTTTGGCATTTTTCTACATTGAATTTTAAATGTAATAGTATAACCATCTAGAATAATACTTCAAATTAACATAAGATTATTGAACCATTTCCCAGTTATTGCATGTTAGCATTAATATGTTTTTTACATTGACAAATAATATACTGTGAAAATATCTGCACATATTGCTGGTTTTCTTCTTGCATATTAAATTTTTTCAGAAGTAGTAATTTCTTAGTCAAAGGGTATAATCATTTTATATTTTATACTAAAAAATGTGTATTTCTCTGACATGAGCTATGTAATAGGAATGTGGCAGGGCTATCATTGGGTTCCTAAGCCAAGTCACTTAGTGTTCGGCTAGACTTCCTTGTTTAAGAGCAAAAACTAGGGCCTCCCTGGTGGCACAAGGGGTTAAGCACCGCACTCTGAAGTGGTCCACAGTCTCTGCAGCACGAGTTTGATCCCTGGCTGGCCAGAGAGCAACCCACATGGTAAAGCAGGCCTCTCCTGTCTCACCTGCTCTCCCCTCAGCAGTGTATTTCAGTCAGTCTGCGTGTTCTGTTCCCCACTCTGTCTCTGGTGAGTCCTCTCACCCTCCTGCGAATATGGCCTGTACCCCAGCTCTTGTATGCATAAATAAATCTTTAAAAAAAAAAAAGTAAAGGTAATAATACTTTCCCCAAATCAAGGATAACACTCCAAAACAAGAATTCTACTGCACCCTTTGTAATATTTTTCTTGAAGCTTAGGATTAATGTACCAATTACAAATGACATTGGATATCTGATATCTTAATTTAGGTTTAAATTTAATACATGGATCAGAATAATGAGTCTTGGATTCTACTTAGTATTCTTTACAGAAAACCAGCATTTCTAGCTCCAGAATCCCTGTAATTCTAATATACTTAGATTGACTGTTAGTGTGAAAATTTAATAAAATGAGAATTAGAATTGTACATCAAATTTTTTTCTGTTTATGTTTGCTCCCTAGGTACGCAAGTAGAAGCATCTAAAGTTTGCAAGTAACAGTATAAATATGAAATGCACTGAATCCTTCCTGGGAGGAAACTCAAAGTAATATATTTAAGTACTTTAACCAAGATATAATATGAACTTTGGTAAAAGGACAGTTGGTTGGTTTGTTCATTTGCTTGTTTTATCACAAAGGATTTCTCCAACCTGTGGAACAGTAGTTATCCATGGGGGGCAGGAATTTACCTTACTCTTATTCCAGAGAGCACATAGCTATAGTATAGGTCACAAAACAGTTCCTACTAGGCCAATGATTGTGTATGTGTATACACACATATCAAGTATCATAGGACATGTACCTCATACACAATATACTATGATATTTTTCTATTTTTAATAAAAGAACATAATGGTTCTTTTATTGGTTACATATTGGTTACCATCCCATACCAATGCCCATCTCCTGCAAATGATGGCATTATAAGAGTAGCAGTCACATTGAATAAACTATTTCAGTATCTTATGTGTATTTTGTCATTCTTGCTGCTGTTAATGTTTTAGCATGTCTAAAGCCATTGGTTCATATTGTCACTTAGGTTAAGATTTTGTTACAAATAAGTTTTTTTTGTTTTATTTTGTTTTTGTGAAACCAGTGTTCTAAACTCACAGAAATAAGTTAGTTACTTTAATAATATATAATATAAGGAACCTTCCCCTGAAAAGCCCAGGCTGGAAATCTGAATTAATTTTTTGAGGCCTCTTTCAAAAGCTGGATTTTAAATTACCTGCTATAGTGATCAGCTTTTTGTTTATTAATAACACATTGCCCACAACCCTCTTAGTCCTTACAGATATAAAATATGATGTTACATTAATTTTAAATATTCTCAATGGCTTTATTTGATCAGCTCTCATTATTTGTAAATTTCTAATTTCTTTGCACTCAGTGATGATTAGGAGGTTTTTGGTCACACACTACCAAAATATCTGAGCTCAAGTCGCAGTTCATCCACTTGATAGCTATGACTTTCATCAAGCTATTTGAAATCTTGACATTCTCTTTTTAAGATGGAAATATCAACAACACTTGGTATGAGTGTAGTACAGAGTAAGGATGAAATCTGAAAATCCCTATATGACCTGCAGGATGTTCCTTTTTCTGCTTCTTTGTGTCTTTCCACCTTCATTTTCATCACTCAACCCTCTGCTGCTCAGCCATTGGGAAGTTCTCTCCTCAAACTTACCAAGACACTCCTGCCCCTGGGTTGGCACACATGCTGCTCCCAATGCTCAGCGCCAACTTCCACAGTCCTTTTCTCCAGCCTGCCTGCTGACTCGCACTCCTGTAGATTGCCCCTGAAATCCCACTTCAGGGAGGAATTCCCTAATCTCCCTTCTCCCCCAACACACACACACACACACACACAGGTGTTTTCAAACTGTCTTCTTTTCCTTCAAAGCACTAATCACAATTGTAATTATACTGTCATTTACAGAATCACTTGTTTAGTGGCTCTCTCTCCAGTTAGACTGCAAGCTCCATGAAGACAGGGCCTACCTCTGTGATTTAGTTACAAACTACTAACTAACTAGCACAGTGTCTGACACATGATGAACATCTAACAAAAAGGCTAAGCACTTTTTATAAATTGATGTATATCAGGAAAAGTGTTCACAAGCAAGCAATATATTATTAGAAGTAAAAGTTTAAACTCATGGGGGGAGTACTTTTTTATATAATAGGAGCAGACAATCTAGGGTTTATGCATAGAGCTGTCAGATAATTTGGGGGAGAACAAAATTAGACACAGTTAAATTTGAATTTCAGATAAACTAGAAATAACTTTAGTATATGTCAGTCACAAATACTGAATATTTAAGACTGCTGTTTTTCTGAAATTCAAATTTAATTGTGTGTCCTGTATTTTAGCCAGCACCTCTACTTGAGCAGCAACTCCAGTATGTCACAAAAAAGCCAGGGTCTTTCATCCTTGGCTTGTGAACCTATTACCAGAAGGTCACAGGAAAACAGCAGAAGTTCCTAGCATAGTGTCAGCTCACAAGGCAGGCAGATGGATGTAGAGAGGAAAGGCAGCCACATATCTCCCAAAAACCACACAACAGTGTCCCCAACAGACTTCCCTGTGTGTCTCCTGGGCTCACATGGCTACTTCTCAATGCAAGGGAGCCTGGGAAGCAGATGTCAAGATGGATTTATACCATTTATGATTCATTGTCTGGGAATGCTGCCACAGGAACAAAAATCAAGCCTCTTTTAGCAAGGAAGGAGGAGGAAACTGATAAGCCACTGGAAGTGTCTACCACAACCTTTTTATGCATACCCTTCCTGATCATGATTTTATTAAGCTTGGATTGCCAATAATTTGTATTATAAAATAGTATGATTTTTTAAGAAGAAAAGTATAAGGATGATTTTTTAAACCTAATTTCAAAGAATTTTTGAAGCACCCTCTTTGCTTTTTTCCCCTATAGAGAGGCAAGTCCCTCATTATAAATTGTGGAATTATAAATTCTCCCAATTTCAGCATGTGAGGTCAGAATAAAGCTCTCTTGAAAAACAAAAATCTTAACAATAAAAATGGAAACATTCAAATCATTTTGAGAAGAAATAAATATCTTTTTGCCTATCAGTATCAGTGAGAAATAAATGAGGAACTTGAAGTAAAGAATGCCAATGCTTTTTCTGATATGTACATTTCATATTGCAGTTATGTTTATCAAAGCAGTTAATGGGATATTCTATCTATTTAAGAAGGCATATATTGTATATTGAAAAGAAACAAATCTGCTCAAGTCTTGACTTTCTGTGTAAACAAACTCAATCCCTTTAGGTCAAATTTGCTGTAGGGAAGCATCATTGTAGTTAGTATTAAAACAGAGGAGAGAGTTCAAAAGAGGACCTCATGGACTATTACACTAAAGGATAAGATTCAAGCCCAGTGATTTACCTTTTAAGGATATGATTGTGGTAGTACATGGAATCATAAAATTTTGGAGGAGTATCAGCTGTTCCAGTGCACTCTATTTCAGTATTGAAATTAAAACCAGAACTGGTAACCTGTTCAATCCTGTACAGCTTGATAGTGGTAAGACAGCACCAGGCCACAATTTCTACACCACATTAGCAGACATACACATTTTTAATTTTAAAGCAAACAATGGCTAAAAAAAAGTGCTTGCTAGAATACATCATTTGTTCCTCTCACTTTTGAAAAAAGAAAATTTAGGAGTCTGGGAAAGCCAGCATTAAGGGAAAATGAAGCTTTCTGTTCTTGGCTGGTGGAGCCTATTGAAGGAGGCAAGCTGACTCATGAAGTTACCCTTGGGGCAAAAGGCAGTGATGAGCGATTATGAGCTCCATGCCAATTGCTGTGCTTATGTTAGGTCTGGGGCTCTAACTGTTCTTTCAATTCTCCATCCACGGTGGAGAGTTAGAAAAAAAGCAGGATGTGGAAAAGAAGACTAGGCATTACTCTGCACATACAGAAACAGGTGAAATTTACAATTGCAGCTTAGGGGTCCTAATCAAGATAGCATGACCTGCAGGTTAAAAAAAAAAAAAACCATTAAAAATAGTTTCTTAATACTTAAATAAGGGACCAGGAAAATGAATAACTATAAGAAAGTGAAAATCAAAATCAACAAAAACTATGAACCAGACACTTTTTGGGGGGTGGGGGGGCGGGAGGGGAGGGATTGGGGTCAGAATGGGGGGATTGCAAATGTATGAGGAATATAAAAATAAAATTTATTAATTAAAAAAAATAAAATAAAGCAACTGTAAAAAAAAAAAAAAATAAAATAAAAATAGTTTCTTACCAAAGTGAGCATATTGGATGTATTCATGTCCATGAATCCAGAAACATGTCATCAAAACAAAACTAGAGATATAATAATATGTTCCCTGCTGGCTTCCAAATAGCAAAGTAACTAGGTTGGCTTCTTCAAGATCAAAAATAGAGACCAAAACTCACACAAAGAAAGCAAGCTCTTTAGACTCTTCCCTTCCAGCCTACAGAGCAAGTTCCTAGCGGTGATTCTGAAACCTTAGCATGTACCACTTGGAGGAATTGTTAAAACACACCATATAGGTCCCCAATCCCAGATTCTGATTCAGTAGTTTTGGGGTAGGGCCCTAGAATCTGCATTTCTAACAAGTTCCTAGGTGACGTTAATATTGCTGACCAAGGACCAGTCTTTCAGAATTACTGCTCTGTAACACACAAATAGCAGTTTGCAGACAAAGGAAGGCTCATACTGAAACTACCAGCATAAAATTACTAGTGCCTAACAATATTACAGAATCACTCTTTGCCAGTTATTGACTTTATTTACTCTTAGCTCCAAATTCTCCCTTTTTTCTTCTGCATTGAAAATGAATCTGGGCCATTTAAGTATATTTCTTTTGCCACATGGAACAGTGTTGAGTCAACAGAGGGAGCTGGAGACATACTCCAAGACAAAAGAATTTGCATTTTTGATTCCTGTGGTTGGCAAGTGAAGTGGAGTGCTTCTAATGAGACACCTCCCTATAAGCTGCTTTTCCAAGGTTTTTTTTTTTTTTTTTTTGTGGGTGAATTTCCAGCAAGTTTTATTGGCATGGCACCACAGCTACTTCCCTGTCATTCAGTGAGTCATGGTAGTGTTTTCTCCAAAAAGGCTTCCCCTCACTTAATGGGAAAGAGTAGAAGGGTAAGGAAAACTATACCTCCTTCTTGAGTGTTCCATTTCAGCCCTAGGGGATGTGACTGTTCTTTATATTAATTTCTTTATCTCTTAGTAATGTAAATATAAACAAGGGATTGCTTATTTTATATTTATATAATATATAATTATGTAATCATTTTTTGAAATTATTTATTTTTAATTTGTATTACTTAGATATTTTTATACACTTCCTTATTTTACACATTTAAATGTGTATATATATATATATACACAAACAAATGTGTATATATATGTGTGTATGTATTCTAAATGTGTAAAATAATATACACACCCAGAAGATGTCAAAAAATAAAAAGGCAAAGACAAGCTAATAAAATTTTAAAAACAACAAAACTGCAATAAGCATTTATATCTCTATAATAACCTTAAATGTAAATGACTTTAATTCACCAATTAAAAGACATAGAGTGGGGGGCAAATGGATTTTAAAACAAAGTCCAACCTTCTGCTGTTAATAGGAAACCCATCTTCCCAGCAAAGATAAGCAATACTTAAGAGTTTAAAGATGGGGGCCTCCCCGGTGGCGCAGCAGTTGAGCACTGGGTTGCGAAGCGCCAGTTCGATCCCCAGCTGCTCCCGACCACCAGAGGAGGGTCCCACATGGCACGAAGACCTCTCCTGCCTCCCTGCCGCCCGCTGCTCCCCTCAGCAGTGTACTTCGGTCCCTCTGCCTCCTCTGCTCCCTGCTCTGGCTCTGGTGAATTCTCTCACCCTCCCACGCTTCTGACTGTACCCAGTGCTTGTATAAATAAATAAATAAATCTTTAAAAAAAATAAAATAAAATAAAGACATCTGTCAAATTTCTAATCCTATACCTTTAAAAAAAGAAAAAAGAGTTTAAAGATGGAAGGTAATCCAGCAAGCAAATGGTCATCAAAAAAGCCAGGAACAGCTATAATTATATCAGATTAAACAGACAAAATGATGTAAAATACAGAGGTAGACATGATATTATATTATATTATATTATGATTAAGGACCTAATACAACAAGAAGAAATAACACTCATAATATCTGCACCAAAGATACATGCATCAAGATATATACACAATTTTTAATAAACTAAAGATAGATATTGACAATGACACAGTGATCAGAAATTTTAATGTTCCACTTGCAACTACAGACAGATTAACATGTCAGAGAATAAATAAGGAAACAATACACATAAATGAGAAGCCAGACAAAACAGACATGACAGCCATCTACTCCACCAAAATACTCCACTAAAAACAAAAACTGCTGTGTGTGAATATATATAAAATCTTCAAATGCACATGGAACATTCCCAATAACAGACCATATATTAATAGATAAGTCTATTATCAATAAAATTATGAAGAGTGAAATCATCCCAAGCATTTTTTCTGACCATATGATTCTTTTTTTTTAAATAATAAATTTTATTTTTATATTCCCCATACAATTACAACCCCCCCATTCTGACCCCAATCCCTCCCCTCCCGCCCCTCACCCCCAAAAAGTGTCTCTGGTTCATAGTTTTTGTTGATTTTGATTTTCACTTTCTTATAGTTATTCATTTTTCTGGTCCCTTATTTAAGTTTTCTAGATTCCTGCTATGAGTGAGACCATCCAGTATTTTTCTTTTTCTTTTTGGCTTATTTCACTGAGCATAATCCCTTCCAGCGCCATCCATGTTGCTGCAAATTGCATGTGTTTATCTTTTTTGAATGCTGAGTAATATTCCATGGTATATATGTACCACATCTTCTTAATCCAGTCATCTATTTTTGGGCATTTGGGCTGTTTTCAAAGCTTAGCTATCGTAAACAGTGCTGCTATAAACACAGGGGTGCAGGTGCTCTTTGGAATTGATGTTTCTGTGTCCTTTGGGTAAATACCTAGGAGTGGAATTGCTGGATCATATGGAAGCTCTATGTTTAGTAGGTCCAGAAATCTCCACACAGCTCTCCATAGTGGTTGGACCAGTTTGCACTCCCACCAACAGTGCAGAAGAGTTCCTTTTTCTCCACACCCTCGCCAACACTTGTTGTTGCTAGTTTTTTTAATATGTGCCATTCTCACTGGTGTAAGATGGTATCTCATGGTAGTTTTGATTTGCATTTCCCTGATTACAAGTGATGTTGAACATTTTTTCATATGCCTGTTGGCCATTTGCATTTCCTCTTCAGAGAAGTTTCTTTTTAGCTCTTCTGCCCATTTTTTGACGGGATTATTTTCTTTGTTGTTGTTGAGTCTCATCAGCTCTTTGCAGATTTTTGTGATCAGTCCTTTATCATTAGTGTTGGGTGCAAAAATGTTCTCCCAGTTGGTGGGGTTTCTCTTTGTTTTTGTTATTGTCTCTTTTGCTGTGCAGAAGCTCTTTAATTTCATGTAGTCCCAGCTGTTTATCTTTGCCTTCACTATCACTGCTTTGGGTGATGTGTCTGTAAAGATGTCTTTGATGTGAATATCACGTAGTGTTTCGCCTATATTTCCTTCTATATATTTTATGGTTTCAGGTCTTATGTCTAGTTCTTTAATCCATTTTGAGTTGATTTTTGTGTATGGTGTGAGGTAGTGGTCAAGCTTCATTCTTTTGCATGTAGCGACCCAGTTTTCCCAGCACCATTTATTGAACAAACTTTCTTTGCTCCAATGCATAGTCTTTGCTCCTTTGTCAAAGATTAGTTGACCATAAATCTGTGGGTTTATTTCTGGATTTTCTATTCAATTCCATTGGTCTGTGTGTCTGTTCTTGTTCCAATATCATGCAGTTTTGATGATTATGGCTTTGTAGTAGAGTTTGAAGTCTGGGAGTGTGATGCCTCCATTCCCTTCTTTTTTTTTTTCAGTAGAGCTTTGGCTATTCGGGGTTTTTGGTGATTCCATATGAATTTCATCAATAATTGTTCTATTTCTTTGAAGAATGACATTGAAATTTTGATTGGAATAGCATTGAATCTGTAGATTGCTTTGGGTAGGATGGCCATTTTAATAAAGTTTATTCTTCCAATCCATGAGCAGGGGATGTCTTTCCATTTCCTTGTGTCGTCTTCTATTTCTTTTAACAGTGTTTTATAGTTTTCTTTGTATAGGTCCTTTACCTCTTTTGTTAGATTTATTCCCAAATATTTGATTTTTTTGTTTCAATAATAAAAGGGATGGTTTTTTTATTTCTTCTTCTTCAGATTTATTGTTTGTGTATAGGAAGGCTACTGACTTTTGCGTGTTGATTTTGTATCCTGCCACTTTACTGAACTGATTGATAAGTTGAATTAGTTTTTCTGTGGAGTTTTTGGGGTTCTCTATGTATATTATCATATCATCTGCAAATAGTGATAGTTTGACTTCTTCTTTTCCTATTTCGATTCCTCGGATGTCTTTCTCTTGTCTTATTGCTCTGGCTAGGACTTCCAGTATTATATTGAAGAGCAGTGGTGAGAGTGGACATCCTTGTCTGACCATATGATTCTAACTTCACTACCATCTTTACAAATTCTTTACCTAATAGATGAAATCAATAATCATAAATCTAGAAATCAATCATTTTTTAAAAACTGGAAAAAACATAAATACCTGGAGACTAGAAAATATGCTGCTTAGTATCTGTTGGATTAAGAGGAAATTAAAGCACCCCAAAACTCTTGAAGATGAAGATACAAAATGCCAGAATTTGCAGGATGCAGCAGCAATAGTCTAAATAAGGAAGATAATTGCTATACAGGACCTCATTAAGAAGCAAGGAAAATCCCAAATCAATTTTTTCAAAGTGTGATTAGAAAAGAAACCAGAAAAAACCCAAATGCCATTGCATCTATTTCCATGTGTGCTTGGCAGGATGAAGTGTCAATTTATAAGATCCTTTACCAAGGCCCCAAATACACATATAGTATGAGCATCCCACAATGCTAAATGTGATTTGACTCTTTAGAAAATGTAACCACTAAATGGGAGCTAGTTACTTTATCTGGCTCTTGGCTGAAGAAACAGTGATCTGTTCCAATACTAGTGGAAAACTGTGCTGACTTAATGTAGCAAAGCATGCCTCCCAATTTCCATCTGCCCCTATTTTAGCAATAAAAATTCCGGTTTTCAAATTGGAACATTAGCACAAGGCTAAAGGAGTTCTAAGAATTTCTCTAATTGTTTGGAAAAGAGTATAATGTGGTTATAAAAACCAGAGCTCTGGTGTCTGTCACACAAAGCATAATCAACTCTAGCTGTGTGACTTCAAGCAAGTTACTGTCTATTCTGAGGCTTAGTTATCTGTCTGTGAACAGAAATAATAAACTTACTGTGAAGATTAAATTTTGAGTCCACACAAATGCTTTACCTTAGCATAGTAATCTGGCATAGGATATGTATCCATTAAATATTTGCCAGTATTTAAAGACAGAGAAAACATCTAAATTTTATAGAGTGGAAGTGATACAATCTTCAAGTATAACTTTCATTACATGCTCTGTGAATCTAGTAGTCAATAGTTTTGAAATAGTGAACTGGTATTCAGCTTTCCTTTTCCATTCTAGACTTTACTTCTTTAGGAATTCTATAAATAAGAATTCAGATGTAACAAAGCACTACTTAAAAATTTGCCTTTAAAAGCAAAACCCAAGGAACATCTATAGTCTAAAAATATATTTTCAATCTGACAATGAAAAATAAGGACATTACTAGCAAGTAGTGCTAGATTATATAAACTAATATGAATTAGGATATCAGCAAGTAAATTTCTAATAAGAAAAAAGTTGTAAAACAGTACTTGTGATTATAAACAAAGCATTACATGAGCATCATATATAAAATGACTATTGAACTTGTTTACTTTGCCATTTAATATTTTTATGTGGAATTATATGGAATATTTTTATATGGGTGATGGAGGCGGGGTACCATAATCTTTCAGTATTTAGAACCTCCAGCAGTATTTATCCAGCTAAAAATAGGCTAAGAGAACAGGCTTGTGAGGAGAGGTGCTGGGAAAATGCAAAACCTACTCCTCATAAATTTCTCCTAGTCATATCTTTGTAACCAAAATATTTGGCACAGGGGAAATAATTCTGCTTATTGCTCTTCATAGTGTACTATACCACCTACTTTCACTCTTTATGATAGGATCAGGTAAACTGGAAGACAAATCAACAATGTTTGAGGTGGTGTGGAAAAAAGTTACTACGACAACATAAATGTTTATTCTCAACAACTATTCATCTATATCAAGATCAGAAAATCAGATCCCACTGGCCAAGTCCAGCTAATCTCCTGTGTTTTTTAAAACAGTTTTATTTAAACAACCATACCTATTCCTATATGTGTTTTGAGTGGTTGCTTGCATGCTTTAACAACATCCTTGAGTACTGTGATAGACCTTATGGTCTGCAAAGTCAAAAACGTTTATTGTCTGATTCTCTATAACCCTGTGTCAGTCCTTGCTTTATGTATCTCTTTGGATGCTCACAGATTGCCTACACTGTGCCAGATATAGTGCTATAGTCTGTACATAAATGAATTGACATTCTGCTGATGGGCCAGATATTTTAAGAAATTAAAAAGCATTGGGAGAAACTCACTGACTGAGGAGGAAAAACTCTGAGGTAGTGAGTGAAGGAGTGACCGCTGGGGAGTGATGAGGTGAGGGTTGGGAATATATTGTGGGACATGATTGGAAAGACTATCAGTGGCCATTTGGGAAGGATGATTGATAGATGGTATATCAAGGAACTTACACTTTATCCAGTAGGCAATGGAATACAATTAAGGAAACAGAAGCAGAAAAGCACTATAATCGATTGTGAAAATGGGAATTATTTAGTGAAACAAGAATCATTTGAAGCTGACACGTATTATCTAATGCACTGGAGGGAAGTGTGGAGGCTGGCAGATATATTGGGACATGCTGCAATAGATCAGATTTTTGGCCTAGTATAAGTGCTGCCCCAGATAATTTTTATTTATGTCTATTTAATAGCAAGTAAAGTATATAGTACCAGTATTTCATTTGGCGTACACTCCAATAAAGTAAACTACAGTTATGATTAGTTTTGATTATAGTGTGGGTATATATTAAATCAGAGAATTTATTGCTTGAGAGGATTTCTGTTTCTCCTACTTTATTCTTTTTTTCTGTTGAACATAAAGATAAGGCTATTATTAGTTGCCTCCATAGTAGCAAACTCTTCCCATTCTAACCCCACCACTCACCTTCTTTCTTGGTATCTGGTACTGAGTCAAGGAAGCCCCTAGATGCTTTATCCTTTTCCCAAGAGGTCCTTAGATAAACAGCAGCTTGAATCTTTGTTTATATAAAATCAAGATATTTCACATAAAGAGTAACAAATAATTTGTCTCCATAAACATATTTTCTGGGCAATCTAGTGTCTCACTTTTAGTCAGCAAATTATTTGTCTTTTCTTGACGACCAAGAATGCTGAATTGTTATAAATAAAAATTACTTGTAAGTTTGTTAAGATTTCCAAAAGCAAAAGGACTTCATGAAACTTATTTAAGGACAAACAAGACCAACTTTAGTAGCAGTAGTAGAGACAGTGGTTAACAATTTCTCGGGCTTTGAAGACTTGCTTTAAATCTGAGCTTTACTATTTAAGAGCTGCTTGACTTGACAAAGTCATTCACAGTTTTTAAATTAGTGTTCTCAATGGGTCTCCCTGGTGATGCAAGAGGTTAAGACGCAACCTATGAAACTATCTGCAGCCACTGGGGCACTGAGTTCGATCCCTGGCCAGGGAATAACCCACACGGCGCAGCAGACCTCTCCTGAATTGCCCTCTGCTCCTCTCAGCAGTGTATTTCAGTCAGTCTGCCTGTTCTGTTCCCCACTCTGTCTCTGGTGAATCCTCTCACCCCCCACACCTCTGGCCTATACCCCAGTTCTTGTATACATAAATAAATAAATCTTCCAAAAAATTAGTGTTCCTAACTGTAAAACACACAAAAAGATAATACTATTGTATTAAGTTATAGGCAATGATATATGTACAATGTTTAGCACAGTGCCTTGCATTTGTAAGTCCATTTATTCATGCCACAAAATAGTTATAGAAAAATCTTTGTATGTTAGACAGTTTGCTGGATGTTGGGGATACAGGCATGAACAGAGCAAATACGCCTCCCATCCTCAAATAACTTGGACTTTAATAACTAAATCAACCAGTTCAAAGCTAAGTCAACATAGTAAGTAAGTCAAAGCTTTAAATGAGATATTCACCTGTGGAATATAAGGCTAATAAAACTATACTTAGGATTAGTAGATGAAAAGGTCTCCAAATTTCTAACCCTTTATTATGAAACAACCTTGAGATTAATGAGGCGTATCACTGGGAAAATTAAGGGATACTTTTGATAATCACTTTTTTTAAAGCAGAAAAACAAGTTTAAACTTCTTGTGTAGTCAATCACAGCATGAAGTTTCTTTCTTTTCAATTCATCGTGTTCATTAACTGTATACTTATAGGGAAGATCAGCTTAGGAAAATTCAGGAATCCCATGCTGGATGCCAACTTGGTTTAAAAAATAATTTGGTGGATAAATTGTGGGCAGAAAGGAACCAACTAAATATAGAAAACTACAGGTATAAATATTGCTAACAGTGCATTTTTCTAAAAAGACAGCTGATCAAAAAGGATATTTAATCTGTTAAATTGTCTTTGAACTTAGACTGTTAGGACTAGAATAATCTTTTGAAAGGTGTCCAGTTGATTCATTTTATTGATTTTGACATAGCTCAGGTAGATTAAATGACTTATGTAAGGTCATAAACCTATTTATGTCAGAGTCAACATCATACCTATGCTTCCTCAGCCTAATCCAGTGTTTTTGCTGTGCATGACACTACTCCTTGTAACTTGGATGCATTCAACTAGTATTAACACCAATAAGTGACACACAAATGGTCACTTTGGCAGTTAATATACATTAGCTCTCAGAATACTACCTCCTTCTACTTGCCTACATACCCTCCCTCTACTTCAGAGATTAGAGAGGTAAAGATTACATTCCTCAGACTCACTTATTACTAAGGTTCTAACTTGGAAGACAACAGGGAGTATGGTGAGGCAATGATACATATGGGGAAACTAGATCTTACGCTAAAAACATCTGATATTTGGGCCTCCCTGATGGCGCAAAGGGTTAAGATGCAACTATGAGGTTCTCCACAGCCTCCGCAGCACCAGTTCCATCCCTGGCCAGGCCAGGAAGCAACCCACATGGCACAGCAGACCTCTCCTGTTTCACCCGCTGCTCCCCTCAGCTGTGTATTTCAGTCAGTCTGCCTGTTCTGCTCCTCATTCTGTTTCTGGTGAATCCTTTCACCCTCCACACCTTTAGCCTGTACCCCAGTTCTTGTATGCATAAATAAATAAATCTTTAAAAAAAAAACCACATCTGATTTTTCTTCAATATTTATAGCACAGTTCTATTGTCTGGTCTTTAGCATTACAAGTGATGAGTAGTAGGTAGCATTAGCTTTGGCATCTATTAAAACACTTTCCTTTGAAACAATATGTATAGCTGCTATATTATTCAAGTTTGGCATTCAAGCTTGGTCTTCCTAAAAATTCTGAGTGCCTAATTACCCTTAGTAAAGCATTTTTTGCTTAAACTAGCTGCAGTGGATTCTGTTGTCTGCAGCTATGAATGCTGATTCAAGTTGAATGGTTTTAATAGTGATACTATTGCGATAAAAGAAAGTCATTAAATAGACTCAATATTAAAATGAAAATTGTAATTAAACAAATTGAGTCCTAAGGCATGAGAATGAGGGTGCTGATAGAATAAGTCAGAAAGTCCAATAACCAGGAGTGCTGATATCCAAGGGCAGAAGCTGGGTCTGAGTGCTGATATCCAAGGGTCTCAGCTCAAAAGAAAGAGTGAAACCACCTTTCTTCACATAGTATTTAATTTTCTGAGGTTTTTTAAGTCAATTCAGCATTATTCCCTTGAGATTTATCTAAGGTATTGAATCTTCTGTCTTTGTTTTATTTAGTCCACAATGAATTGCATGATACTCACCCACATTGGTGAGGTCAATCTTCTTTCCTCTGTCTACTGATTCAAATGCTCATTTCTTCTGGAGACACCATCAAGACATACCTAGAAATAATGTTTTGTCAGTTATGTGGGCATCTCTTAGGCCACTTAAGTTGACACATAAAATGAGCCATCAAAGAATAGCAATGTCAGGTATGCTAAGTGCTGTGAAGGAAAAAACATGGTTAAGGAGACTGGGGTATACTAAAAAAATGATACCTGCTAATAAAAAAATAAATGAGACATGTTCATGTGAGGAATACCTCATAATATGAAAACAAACAAACTGTAGCTACATATAACTACATGGATAAAACATAATATTGAGTAAAAAAAAGCAAGACGTAATGGCATGAGAAAACAATTAGCCAAAGCCAAAATATGAAATATTCTGCAGGTCAAATGATCTAGCTTTCTCAAAAAAAAAAAAAAGGGTGGGGGGAGAAAAAAAATCAATGGACTCATTTTTTTTTAAAGCAAGGGGAAGCAGGGATTGTTGTGAGATAAAAGATAGAGTAGGCATAATATTCTGATTTTACACAATTTTATTACAAAAGAATTGACATATATCATTATATAAGCTTAGGTGTACAGCATAATGACTTGACATATATATAGTGAAATGATTAATTTGATAAGTTGTGAAAAGTTAACCTTATTGGAGCCATTTTAATATGGGGCCAAAGTGACCACAGAGAAATGGCTTTACTATCTTCCTTAAACTGGATCTGACCCTTGGACTGGGCCAAACCACCAATATTTCAGGAAGCCAGCAAGAGTAAGAATATACTGTTTGTAAAGACCAATAAAAGTGAAATTATATGACTTTTATTTTACTTTTTATCTTATGACTCCTTCAACTGACCATTATCTCATCCATTACCTCATTCTTCCTTACCTCATCCTCCTTTTCACTCTATAAAAAAAAACAGCTTTGCAGGGAGTGGGGTCAAGGAGAGGACTAAATGGACTATGGTGGAAGTTTTTTTTAATGCTTTGGTGTTGGGTATGGTGGGAGGACATACACATGCAGAGGTGTAAACCCATACCCCTGAATTTATGCTCCCTGAATTACAATTATTTGACCCTAAATAAACATCTTTTTCCTTTTTTAATGGCCTCCTGAATTTGTAGTTAACATTCATCATCTCAGATAGAAACAAAAGAAAATTTTTTTACTTGTCATGAGAAACATAAATGTATAATCTATATAATTTTACATATTATATATTATACATATAATTCTTAATTGTCTCTATTTTTATTTAAGTTTGAAAGTATCCATAATTCAAATTTCATTGAGAAAGGTATTTAATTCACTTACAGACTTGTATCTGTAGGAATAAAGTAGAAGTTACAAGTTTATGTACCATTACAAATACTTTATATTTTGAGATAACTGTAGTTTGATAATACAGTTATAAGAAACAACTCAGATTCCATATACTCTTCACCACAAATGTCAGTATCTTGCAAAATTATAATATCACAATTAGGAGGCTGACAGTGATACAATCAACCAACATAATTCAGATTTTATCAATTTGATATATATTCATTTATATGTACATGGCATATATACTAATTTCTCTGCAGTTTTATCACATGCATAGATTTGTGTGACCTATACCATATCCAAGCTACAGAATCTCTATCACCAGGTTTCCATGTGCTACCCTTTTACAACAACTGACACCCTTCAGCCCTACTACCCCTAACCTCTAACGACCACATATGGGCTCTTCATCTCTATAGTTTTGTTATTTTAAGACAAAATATATAATCACATAGTATGTAACCTTCTGAGGTTTTTGAAGATAATTCAGCATAATTCTTTTGAGACTTATCTAAGTTATTGAATCTATAAGTATTTTACTCTTTTCATATTGCCAGTAGTACTGTATGGTTTGGCCATAGTTTAATCATTCATCTGCGAAAGGACATCTGGATGATTTTCAATTTTTGGCTTTTGCAAATAAAGGTACTATAAACTTTCATGTATAGGTGTATGAGTAAACACTAGTTTTCATTTCTAGGATAAGTGTTCAAGAGTGCTACTGCTGGGTTGTATGGTATGTACATATTCAATTTCATAAGAAATTATAATACTCTTTTCCATAGTGGCTGTGCTATTTCACATTTCTATGAGCTATGTATGAATGTATAAATGTGTGACCTTTAACTGTTAATAGTTCTTCAGAACGACTAAATAAAGCTCAATTATTTTTTGGTTATTTATTCCTGGAGATTGACCTCCTTTTGATGAAAACATTCCATAATTTTTCAGCCCAAATGTCTCCATTGTTTGGGAAAATTTCTAGAGGAGAAACTCATTAAAAAGAAGTTAAGTCAAGGAAGGCCTAAGAAAAGTGTTTTAAAGCAAGGCCAAAAATTTATTATGAAGACATCTGAAAAGAGGAAAGAAAACTAACATTCACTATACCAGACATTTCTCTTCATCTCATTTATTCCTCCCAAGGTTTCTGCAAAAGGGCATATTATATCCACTTAAAAAAAATCCAGTTGAGGCTTCAAGTAACTTTTCAAACAGGTTACAATTATTACTTAGCAAAGCAAGAATGAAAAGACCATGTCTCCAATAGCTTCTAGCAGCCTTTAACTCAGTGCAAGAAACATAAATGACAACACATTTTCCAAGAATGAAAAAATGAACTTCAACTCCGCTATTTTTTGTCCCTGGGCAAGAAAATTAATTCTCTGAGTCTATTTCTTCATTTGTTAAAGGAAGACAGTAATAACATCTCCTTCAAAGAATTGAGGTAAGGAACAAATAAGGTGATGTAATAGAGAAAATCAATTTGAAAAATATAAGATTGATAAACAAATGTCAGGATAATATTTTTAAGATACAGGAAGTGTTATAACAAAATTCTAATAAAATAAAGGCACTAGACCAGGGTAGGTGGGTCAATACCAGTAACTTAGTATGTGATTCCATGCTGATCAGTTATTATTTGTTTCCCCAGTTTCCTCAACTAAATTGAGTCTAAAATTGAGCACTTTAAGGATACACTGTAAGACACTTACCAAGTTATAAGCCAGACCCAAACAAACAAGCCTCTACTTAGAAGTTAATTTGAAAATGTTTATTATACTTGCCAATATGTTGAAAGTATATTGCTGATTATCATTTTTGATGGCATTCTTGCTAGATCATTTAGGTCAATCAGACCTATATGAATATATGTCACAAATAATGATATGAATAATTTGTGTGGGTATATACAGAACAGCAACAGTTACTATCATGAGAATGTATACACAGTTTCCAAACAGCTCTCTCTAAGAAAATATAGGCACTGTATAGAAAATCTGGAACAACGGGCAAGGCGTTGGGGAGGGGAGATGGTCAGCTAGAGAGAAGGGTCAAAAACTTCACATTTGTAACCCTTTGCACTTTCCTTCTAAATTTTGAACCAGAATATCTGTATTAATATTCAAAACTTAGAGATTTAAAATTTTTATTAAAATTTCGTATAAAAATGTAATATTAAGATTGACTTCCCACAATATTTCTTTTTACCAATGATTTTTTCCAATTAACTTAAATCATGAAATTATGAAGCCACTTCATTTTCAATATTGTATCTTTTTAATAGAATAATTCCATGTGGTTCCTGGGTATGTTGAACTCTTCTGAATAAAAGAGTATTTTCCCTTTGACATAGCCTTATAAGACTGGTTTGCTGAAGTGGTTAAGTTAAACTGAATTTGGAATGAATTGTTTCCTAAGAATGACTTTAGATACCAGTAAGGCAGTCGTTTTAACCACGAGCCCCAGGCAGAAATGAGGCCCAAAGTGAATGTAGGTAAAGAACAGGTGGAGTCTGGCATGGCTAAAGGGACACCGTTAGATTCCTCTGCGGCGCCGGTGTTCGGTGCCATGGGTCATCCAAAGCGCCGGTACCGGGGAGCGGTAGGTACCCGCCTTTTCCTCATCTGCTGCCATTACCAGTCACTGAGAGAAAAGGACTTTCGCAGGCACCTAATCACTGAAAAGATGATGGTGTCAGAGATTCATTCACTTAAGAGCAGCGATTCATTCAACCCTCACTTCAAAGCAGGGATTCATTCAGGAAACTGATGAAAACTTTCCGCAATCAAAACTCCGAATAAATTCATCCACAGCAAACTTACTTTCTGCCTTTCCCTTCTTTGCCAGTGCTTTAACCTCAGCTGAGCAGCGCGCTCCCCAACCCAGCAAGCGCCCGCCGGCTCCGGCACCCCACCCCGCGGTCTCTCGCAGGTGCCACCCCACCTTTCGGGAACCTCCTTCCCTCCTCCTACCTGGGCCTCAGCCCACCCACTAGACGCGCCCTCGTGACGTCAGCGCGCCGTCGCCGAAGCCCGGCAGCAAATGAACGCATGCGCACAGGCGCTGGTTCCGGGCGTTCCGAAGACCTGGCTGAGCCGGGCGCGTATGGAGGCCTGAGGGCAGCGGGGGCGGAGCGCGCCGCGAGCTTGGGGCATGTCCGCAGCGGGCGCCGTCTAGAGGAAGGCCGAGCAGCCGCCACCACGCTTTCAGTCGCGGCAAGACGCAAGCGAGCCAGGCCGAGGGCCGCGGCGACGATGCAGCGACGGCGGCGCCCTCCGCCGCCCGCCTCTCAGCTGCCCGAGGGCTGCGGGGGAGGCGGGCGCGGTGGCGGCGGGAACGAGGAGGTGGAAGTGCAGTTCTCCGCTGGGCGTTTGGGCTCGGCCTCGGCGGTTGCAGTGGCGGCGGCCGCGCGCAGCACCGAGGAGGAAGAGGAGAGGCTCGAGCGCGAGCACTTCTGGAAGATCATTAATGCCTTCCGCTACTACGGGTAAGGAGCCCGTTGCGGACCCCGGCCCAGACCGTCGGGGCGCCCTCTGGTTTCGGAGGACCCGCTGGAACGGCGGCGCCAGCCGCGTTCGTCCTCCGGCCGCCACGCCTCCGGGGCGCCGGGACCCGGGCGCCTGAGCTGAACGCCGGGCCCCGAGTCACCTCGCCTCACCTTAGCCCCTCCCGATCCTGCACTCCGCGTGTCTGCCGCCCAACCTCGTGCCTGCTGACTCCAGGATCAGACTAGCGCGCTTGCCTTCCATCCCCCGTGAAAGGTTTGGCTTTGAGGCCGGTGGGGGTGGCCGGAAAAGTGCCGTAACAATTGCAGATAGAAGATGATGGTGGTAAAATCGTCCGGTGCCGGGCATGAGTTGTATGGGTTGTGGATGGCCTCTAAACTGAACCGACGGCGAGCCCAAGTTCACCTACACGTGGGATTCTGTAGGACGTATTTTCCCAAACTGTTGCCAGTTCTTGTGAGTGCAGCTTAAGATTTCCACCCCATCATCCATCCCCCCTTGGCGCTGTGAACGTGCTTGCACAGTTGTGGTGAGCCAGTCGATGATGGCACTCAGTGTCCTCTTTAAGGTCGGAGGTGCTTCTGAAATTTGTCGATTATAAAGGAGGGAATAAAGCAGGCACTCTAAGAGCTTCCTTTATGTTCTTTTATTTTGCAAATAGCGCATGGAATTCTCAGTGGCTTGGGCATGGTGGTTGGGCTTTAAAGCTTCCTAACTTCCACTTATCTTCTAGATAGATATTAAAATAGCTTAGTCAGAAAAATTACAATTTCAAGATCTGAATGGGACTTAAATCAACTTTTATTCGTGCAGGAGATGAGTCCTCAGACTGCAATTCAGAGTTTGTCATTGCAGTCGTTTAGACATGATCTCCTACGCAAGTAAAACTGTTTTCTTAAATGGGATCCTGTTGTGCTTTGTGCAAACTTTTTTTTTATATTGCTTGACCGACCTTTTCAAGGGCAGGGAATGAGCCTTTTTTTATTTTTATGCTTGGCATATGTTGTTGAAGCTCTATTTTTATCAAATAAGTGCTAGCAAAGAAAAACATTTGTCATTCCAAATAATCTGTCGATGTGTGACAATGGGAAAACCAGTTAACTATTCTGAACTTAGAAACATGCTTAATAAAATCTTAGTGATTTAGAGTCTAATTAAATTTAGAGCATGATTTTTTTGAAGTTTAAAGATCTGGAGGAAATGTACTAAGTAAATCCAGTAATAGCTACCATGGACTGCATTACTTAAGATCCCAAAAATGGAATTGGCAGTAGGAGGATATTGTTTAGTATCGATAGATGGGCAAAGCAGATAACCAGAGAATTGAATTTGATGCATGTTATTTTGCCTGGAAGAGCCATACTAGGAGGAGAAGCAGCTGACATTAAATATCTAAGTCTGCTGCTGGAGGCAGAAAAGCCTAATACATTTTACTACTAAGAAATCTAGAAAGAATATTGGGAAATGTCTTGGGAATATTGTGGATTCAATTAGTTAAAATGTCCATTTGTATCCAGTTTCAATGTATTAGGACTAATTTAGAATTGATATTTATAATTAGATATCAGGTGGACCTCTGTATATGGTAGGGCAAGAGGGGATTTGATCTGAAACTGGGACCTAAATGTTACAATGTAGAAAAGGGTGTTTGTGTTCATATCCTTGTGGTTATTTATAATACAGTTTCCTATGAGTTTGTCTCTTTATCAGTTTGCTCTAGGACTGGGAGAAATTTTATTTTTCCAAACAATTCTTTTTCATTTTTTTGCAGCCACAAAATAAATCATTTTATTAGAAATAAAAAAGACCTCTTCAAGAGTTAAAGTTCTTGTTCATACAGATATGTTTTTAAAACAACTGCAATAGTATAAGCATACATCAAAATTCTAATACTGAGCACAAGTGTCGGGTGCAAAATTTAACAATTGCAAACAATCGTGGATTTACTTTCAGCTTCTGTTTGGAATCATATGTGTGAAGTGATTTTTGATGAAGTCCACATTTTCTAAAAAAAAATGACCAAGGGAAATTTTGGTGGAGGAAGAATGAAATTCCATGTGTCTTGACCTTGGATTTCATAAGCCAAAAGCCCATGAACACTTTTCATGCAAGGTTATCTGTTACTCTATTGCTTTGTGAATTTCCTAAAAACTGGAGTTCCCAAAGGGCCTACTGTGAACCTAGGAGGTGTGATGTGGTGGTCTATGGTGTCTGCAATGGAGCTGAGTGTATGGGCCACATTCCAGTGTGACCACCAGTGCTGAGGGCTCATGGGCGTCACCATGCAGGACCAGGAAGGTTGTTAACCTCAGCATAACACTTAGTCACATCATTCTACCCTTCTATATGTCCATACTGGTTAGGATGATCACTCAAAGTTTACTTGAGACTTCTACACCTCAGATGGGCCTCTCCTGTGCTCTTGTCTTCTGGGTGAATGTGAACCTGCCTGACCTGCTGCTCACAGAGACAGTAGGGCTTAGGTTTCTGAAAGCCGTGCAATGAGTGCAATTGTCTTTCAGAGAGAAACAGTGGCAGGGACACCCTGCATACATGCAGAAGGTAAAAGGTACGGGTAGAGATGTCAGACTCCATGTTCTGAGCCAGGCTGAAGCACCAGGGAACCACTAGACTATTTGGGTAGGCCACAGTGCTTTTGGTTGTGCAGTAGAACCCAGGAGGTCTTGAAGAGGTGCCCATTGCTTGTCTTTCTCCTCCTCCTGCAGACAGAGGTGCCAGTCTTCAGGAGGGCACTTCCTTGAGGCCCATACCAGGATGTGCTTCCCTGAAGCCTGGATTCAAACATGTTCATTCTAGCAGAAGGACTGCTACCAGTTTCCATCATCTGCCATATCCAAGCAACTCAAAAAATTATTTTTATTTGCATTTTCTCTCTGATGAAGCACTACATATTCCCAAAGAATAATAAATTGTGTAGTATATATAGAAAATACTACATGTCTTAAATATGCCTTAAAAATATCACTTAGAGGGCCTCCCCTGGTAGCACAGCAGTTGAGCGCTGGGCTGCGATCTGCAGTGCTGGTTTGTTCCCCTGCGCTGGCAAGGGTCCCACCAAAAAAAAAAAAAAATCACTTAGAGGGCCTCCCCGGTGGTGGCGCAGCGGGTTGAGCGCAGCGCTGTGAAGCTGTCCACAGCCTCTGTAGCACGGATTCAATTCCTGGCTGGCCAGGGAGCTACCACATAGCACAGCAGATCTCTCCTGTCACGCCTGCTGCTCCCCTCAGCAGTGTATTTCGGTCGTCTGCCTGTTCTGCTCCCCACTCTGTCCCTGGTGAATCCTCTCACCCTCCTCTGCGTCTGGCCTGTGCCCCAGCTCTTGTATGCATAAATAAATATAATCTTTAAAAAATATATATCACTTAAGGAATTATGGGTATGAAAGCATTGTGGCAGAAAGCCTTGGATTGTTACATTCCAACATTTTATCCTCTCACTAACACATGGCCACTAACACATCTGTTAAATTTAAGCTAATTTAGTAAATTTTAGATTCGTTCCCTTCATCTGAAAAGCCACATTTCAGTGCTCAGTACCCTGTTGTGTGCTGTTGTGTGCTGTGCTGGATAATGGAGGTATGAGCCTTTCCATCATTGCAGGAAGTTCTGATGGACAATCCTATTCTAGGCCTTCAGCATATTTCCAAATTTTGAAGAATTTGGTTTTACTGCTGAATGTATTTTAGCCAATATATAGGAGGTTTAGATGAAAGATCAGAGGGTAGGGCCTTCCTGGTGGCGCAGGCAGTTAAGCTCTGCACTGTGAAGCTGTCTGCAGCCTCTGCAGCACGGGTTCGATCCCAGCCAGCCAGGAAGAAACCCACATGGCGCAGCAGACCTCTCTTGCCTCGCCCGCAACTCCCCTCAGCAGTGTATTTCATCAGTCTGCCTGCTCTGTTCCCCACTCTGTCTCTGGTGAATCCTCTCACCCTCTTGCACATCTGGCCTGTACCCCAGTTCTTGTATAAATAAAATATAAAAATCTTTAATAAAAAAAAGATCAGAAGGCAAGAAAAGTCTTTTGATTAATGTTTTCTCTTTTCATAGGCTTCTAATTTTGTGATTTCTACAGATTTTGCTTAGATGATGTTCTAACAATGTCAAAGGGTTATAGCATTGTACTGACTAATAGTAGAACATGTAGAAAATAGTAGAAACTGACACTAAAATACCACTTCTGTTATAAATAAAGATACCTGGTCATATAGAAATTACTATAAAAGACCTTGTCAGAAATGTCCTAATTTTAGAAATAGTAGTTAGGAGGGATTTTTTTTAAATTGGGATTTAGAACTCATTTTTATAGGTGAGGAGATAGGCATATAAAGAAATGAGCAACTTGCTTGAGGCATATAAAGAAATGAGCAACTTGCCTGGGGTTACACAGCCAAATTGTGGTAGCGTCTGGCCCCCCAAACCAAGATTAGTCACTGAAATTTTATCTTGCATTAGTAAGCAGTGATACACTAGTAAGACAATCTTAATTGGTTATTTAATAAATATATTAAATTATTGATATGGGCTTCTCAGAAAAAGTGCTTTCCTGTTTGGGTTCTGAAGTAGTTCAAATGCAGAAGCGGTCTTTGGCTCTGATGCATAGTCAGACCCATTGTGATGAAAAGTGAGTAAGTCGGGAGTTTGGGCCATTGCTGACACCAGCTTTCTAGAGAAAGCTGGAGGTAAACTATCTTGAGAGAATATATGACTGGTTCTACTTTCTCCCCTTAGCTTCCAGAGGATTTGGCCTCTTGCTGCTGAGTTCAGAATCTGAAAGTTGTAAAACATTCCTTTAAAGCAGTTTTGGCAAACTTTCTTTAAAGGGCCAGGTGATATTTTAATGTATATTTTAAGCTCTAAGGAGCAGGTGGCCTCTGTTAGAGCTATTCAATTCTGCTCTTCCATAGAGGCAACTTTAGACAATATGTAAACAAATACGTGTAGCTCTGTTCCAGCAAATTCTTTGTACAAAAAAAGAAAGAAAAAAAAGGAACAAATAGCTTCTGAGCCAGTTTGTCCACCCCTACCTTAAAGCATATTGACAGTGTGAGAATTTTCAGAATAGTGAAGTTAGTTATACTGTTTATAGTATAGTAAGAAGTGGACTCTTTTCTCAACTTTGGTAAAACCACCTATTTTAAGAAAGTCACTATGGATGTGACATTGTGAATGGTTTGGAACACCATCAAGGGTGGTGGTCCAAGGGGGCTAAGGGATATGCTGTATCTCATCCTGCTTGTGTAGTTATTTCATTTTATCAGGAAATAACAACTGGTGTGTATAGGCTCTTCTGACTAACTCATAACTATTCTCATCTCTTTTTCAGTCATGGAAATAGGTAGTCTCCATGGAGACTAAGAAAGCTACCTCAACATTTATTGACTGCCTTTTACATATGCTGAAATATGGAGATTAAATGGTTGACAGATAAGAGATCAGTTTTAGAGGAGTTCTTCTGTTGGGGGGCTGGGAGATGGGGTTTAGTTGTAGACAGTGTTCCTATGTAGAAGACTTCTTGGTAATCTTTGGGAGACATTGAAGGCCTGAAAGTGTAAAACTTTGTAAGGGGGTAAATTGCAGATAGTTACATGAAATAGAATCAAAAGGACCTCAAGCTTTTTGGTTATGGAGGGTATGAGAAGAGGCATTTTAGGATTACTTGTTTCTGACTTTAGTGGATATATGGTGTACCATTCACCAATATCAGTCACATAGAAGTGCAGTTTTGGGTAAGATGAATTTTGAGATGTGATGAGAGGAAGGTTCTAGGACACCCAGTGCCCTGGAATACTAGAAATGAAGTACAGAGAGACTTAGCAACTATTGACAATTTGTAAACTGTTGCAACTCTGCTGTTTACCAATCGTTACTATTAACCACTTTACATATTTCTTTTATTTATTTATTTTTTTAAAAAAAGATTTTATTTTTTATTTATACAAGCACTGGGTACAGTCAGAAGCGCGGGAGGGTGAGAGAATTCACCAGAGCCAGAGCGGAGAGCAGAACAGGCAGACTGACGAAGTACACTGCTGAGGGGAGCAGCGGGTGGCAGGAGAGGTCTGCGTACTCTGTGGACCCTCACCCGGTTGCTGGGGGTCAAACCGGCATTGCAGAGGCTGCGGGCAGCTTCACAACCCAGCGCTCAATTGCTGTGCCACCAGGGATGCCCACACATTTCTTTTAGTATCATACTCTACTGATGGAAATATGAATTGATACAATATTTCTGAAAATTAGTTTGTATCAAGAGTCTTAATACTTGGGGAATCTGAGGTATCCCCTTCTCCCCCAAATTTCAGATAGATTTTGAACACAAAATGTTATTTATATAGACAAGTGAAAGTATCTAAATGTTTAATGTTTGAGAAATAGCTAAGTGTATTCTAGTTGCATTAGGTAGAATGATGAACAGTTATTATAGTCATTTATCATATAGTCATTTGTGAATACTTCTGACCTGAGAAAATTCTTTTCGTAAGAGTAAAGAATTACAAGTGCTTTTCAAACTTTAATGTGCATGTGAATCAGTTGGAGATCCTTTTAAACAGCAGATTCCATTGCAGTAGGCCGATAGGGCCTTACATTCTCTCTTTCTAACTGCTTCCAAGTGATCTGGTGGTCTGTTTTCCACTTTTTGAAAGATACTAGATGACTTTGTCTTAACAAAATAGAGAAGTATGTCAAAAGTTGGAGGTGGCTGCCTCTAGAAAAGGGATTATTAATTTTTGGTAACTCTTTCCTTGTGTTTTTCATCGTGAACATGATATAAATCAGACATACCTAAGTATATTTGAGCACTTGCTGTGTTTTCAGGCACTGGGTTTATTCTATGTGCATTGTTTTGTTCCTTTTATTTATTTCTCAATAAATGATACTCTTCAATGATCATTATTATTGCTGTCAATATGTAATATGTGTATATGAAATAGTCTGGGCACAGAAAAGTAACTTGCTAAGGTCACATAGCAACCCAGATCTCAAACCTCAACCCATCACCCCACCATACCACAATACACAAACTTTTGAAAATATGGCCAGGTTTTTTCTTTTTTTTTTTTTTTTTTTTAACTTTTTTTTTTTTATAGAGGCATGTTTTTTATTTATTTATTTATTTATTTGTTCGTTTGTTTCGTTTATACATGCACTGGGTACAGTCAGAAGCGCGGGAGGGTGAGAGAATTCACCAGAGCCAGAGCAGGGAGCAGAGCAGGCAGAAGGACAGAAGTACACTGCTGAGGGGAGCAGCGGGCGGCAGGAGAGGTCTGCGCACCATGTGGGACCCTCCTCTGGTGGCCGGGGAGCAGCCGGGAATCGAACCGGCGCTGCAGAGGCTGCGGGCAGCTTCGCAACCCAGCGCTCAACCGCTGCGCCACCGGGGAGGCCCATGGCCAGGTTTTTTCTTAAGTTTTGTCAAGAACTTCTTCAGAAATTAGAATAATGTGGACAAAAATAAGAATTATTTGGATGAATAGAGATTGAGGCAACTAAATGAAAAATTATTTTCATTTAATATTGAGTAAATGCCAAAGAGTATTTAAAAGAAACATTTATGTATGTAAAATATAAATAATGATGTAGTGAACACCCTTGAACCTCCCACCCCATTTAAATAAAATTATTTTATCCCTTTCCTCTGCAAGAACCTAACTTTCCAGAACTTCCTTGCTTTCCTTGTAGTTTTTCTACATACATCTAGTATCTACAATATATGGTTTATTTTTATGTAAACTGGAATTGTACATTATGTATTTATCTGCAAATTGCTTTTTTCAACAAGTATTTACATTTCTGAGCTTTTTTTTTTATATTGTCTATAGCTGTAATTTACAAATTAAATTATTGGCTGCATTCCATTGTATGACTGTCCTGTACTTTTCTTCAGTCTACCAGTGATAGACTTTAGGTTATTTTCAGATTTTTTTGTTTGTTATTTCTAATAGTGCTGTGATGAAGATTGTTCATGTTTCATGGTGCCCATTTGGTCATGGGGAATGTGCCTATAACCTTTACCAGCTAATAATAAATTATTTCCCAAAGTGGTTGTACTAATTTATGTACCCACCATCAATCAATATAGAAACGTTATAATCATTCCACATTTTACCAATATTTCATTTTTTAAAGTTTTACCCATCTGATTAATGTAAAACAGAACTTCATTATGAGTGTAATATTTAGCTTTTAAAATTTATGTACCCTTTTCAGATTTTATTAATAGGTAATTACCCAAGTGACCTTTAGAGCTTTCTGGAAACTTTCAGCATACAAATTGTGAATATTGTGTACAATGCTATTAAATTTCAGTTTTTAATTTGTTTACTACTTTTATAGTACATCACATTTTTCCTGCTGTTTTAAAAAATTCAACTTGATTGACTTTTAGGTAATTTGAAAACATTTTTATGTACAAATTAATTTCAGGGCTGAATTCTACTACTTAATGGAGAAATCTAAAGCATTCAACTGGTTTTGCTGAAAATTTTAAGTTTGGAAATTGAAATTATAAAATAAAGTTATTGTATATTCATCCTCTTTGTGTTTCCTTTCCCCCTTCTAATTGATGCATATATTTTACTTTTATGAGTTATAAACTATTTGCTTCATTTTATTGCATAGAGAAGAATTTGTAATAAAGTGAAAATATATAAAACTTTCTAAGTTAACTATCCTTTTAGAAGCCACAAGACTGTAAATGACAGGACAGTAGCCAATATTATAAGGCAATAATTATAGAGAAAAACAAACTTAAAATAGGATTGGCCTCTGGTAAGAATTCTTTTGCCAATTTAAAACACACCTTTTATGTTTTAGCACCAGTATGCATGAACGAGTCAACCGAACAGAAAGACAGTTTCGATCACTTCCAACTAATCAACAGAAACTACTTCCTCAGTTTCTTCTTCACTTGGACAAGATACGGAAATGCATTGATCATAATCAAGAAATACTACTGACCATTGTGAATGATTGCATACATATGTTTGAAAATAAAGAATATGGAGAAGATGTATGTGAAAGTTTGTTCTATTTTTATTTTAGGATTTAACCTCTATATGTGAGGTCTTTTATCTTTCTGAATCTCATTTTTATAATTTTGCACTGGTTATTTGCTGTAGTCAGAAAATGCTTTCACTTATGTTCAGTCATTTGATGATGTTTAATAGAATACTGTGCCAGAAACCAGATTTGCTCAGGTTTTGCTTTTTAAAGATATACTTAAATTATTGGCATTTTAATATATTGTTCACACGGTGTTCTGACTGTTCTGGCATGTAGAGTTAGCTTAAATTTTATAAACAACTTTACTAGCTATGTAAAATTATTTCCCTTGCTAAACTCATTTTTAGTTTTTTGTAGCTATTGTTAGTCATCTTTTACTTTAGGAAATTAATTTTCACTTAGAAATCTCAAGGGACTGGCAGTATTAGAAACTGAAGGTCTCTTTTTGTATCCACAGGGTAGATACAGTTGGGTCACTCCAGTGTGAGCCTCTCCATGCTGCCCCATCAATGACCTGGAGGGATTTTTCTTCCCTCTCTTAAGGAGAGGATGTTCGATCTCCATAGCAGCTCAGTTCTGGTCCTCTCCTGAGTAAAGACTGCTTAATTATGTGGTGGTTTCATGATTAATGGACCTTAATCTATTGAGGGTAGAAGTGAGACCACCAAACTCTATTCATTTAGGATCTCAAGCTGCACTTGAACCCCGGTTGAGGTGAGAGGCTAGTGATTTATGCACTAAACCATCTATTTAGCCCCTTAGTAGCTTGCCTATTTGGCCATATTCAGAATTGATTATTTTCTCAGAAGCTAATTGATTTCTGTTTTTTTTTAACAGGGGCATGGAAAGATTATGCCAGCATCTACATTTGATATGGATAAGTTAAAATCCACATTGAAGCAATTTGTGAGAGACTGGAGTGAAACTGGGAAAACAGAAAGGGATGCCTGCTACCAACCAATCATTAAAGAAATTTTAAAAAATTTTCCAAAAGAGAGATGGTAAATAGTATCTTGTTTTTGACCAATTTCTTTAAGATTGGTAAAAACTAAATTTCTCTATAAGACATTTCACAGTCTTGATTCATTTTTATAGTTGCTGTGTGCCCATTTGTTTTGCATGTATGGATGTGAGGTGTTTTATTTATCCTTGAATGCTTTGTGAGTGCACTAACATTTTGAATAATTTTTCATTCTAGCACTTATGGGAATTTCTACCTAGAAATTAAATAAAAAAAAGTTTAGAGTGATTGTTCATTATCAGTGATGTCTGTCTTTTTGTAATAGAACAAAGGGATATGAGCTTGAATTTTCCTCATTATGACATATTTGTAAGCAAATGGGAGCAGTAATTTTGTGTGTGTGTGTGCCATGGAAACCTTGGGGAGTCTGAAGCATATGGTCTTTTCAGAATAACATTTATAAATGAATAAAATAAAATGTATTGGATTACAGAGAAACCAGTTATTTTGAAATAGTTATCCCTTTACAGACCCATTGAATTCTGTCATAGAACCGGCGTCCATGAATCACAGTTCAGGAGCTCCTGACTTAATATTTAAAGAGAACTACTGGGTAGAATTAACTGTCATTTATAGACTCTTTGTGAGGAGCCAGCTTTTTGTTACCTCCTTCACCTTCTTAGTAGTTGATATTAATTTAGGTATATTCTTCCAGAAATTTCAATACATAATGTCTGTGTCTTCTCTCTTTAAAAACTTTTTATTTTGAAGTAACTTCAAAATTACAGTTAAGTTTCATGAATTGTACAGAGAGCTCCTGTATACTTTACCTAAATCCCCTAATTAACAGTTTTACATTTGTTCTGTTTTCTCTTCCTACTTCCCTCTTTCCTTCTACTGATTTATGTATATGTCTAAAACCATATATTTGCATAATTACCTAAACCATTTGAGAGATTAGTTTGTGTATGTCATATTTTTAACTGATTACTACTTCAGAGTTTATTTCTTAAGAATGGGTATTCTCTTACACAAGCAAAGTACAGTTACCAGATTGTGGAAATTTAAATGTTAAATACTGTTATCTAATCTATAGTCTATATTCAAGTTTTCATATATTATCCTGATACAGTCCTTTCTGACACTTATTTTTCTATCCGGTCTAGAATCCAACCAGAATATTATATTTCATTTTCATTGTCTTGCATTCATCTTTAGTCTGGAACACTTTTTTTTTTTGACATTGACATTTATTGAAGAATACAAGGAAGTTATTTTATAGAATATTTCTCATATTGAAATTGTGTGGTTTCTTCATGATCAGGTCTAGATGACATAACCCCAGTTAAAATATTGTGTATGTGATTTATGTCCGTTCAGGATATCATATTCAGAGACATAGATTGACTCTTAGCTCATCATTGATGATTTTAATTTTGATAATCCAATCAAGCTGTTAATAAGTTTCTCTATGTTTTGTTACTGTTTCTCTTCTTGGAATTTCTGGGGCGACACTTCAAGACCATGCAGTTAATATCCCTGCTCCTTCTCAAACTTTTCCCCCCTTAGAATTAATCAGCTGTTGGTTCTTGCATGCACAAATTGGACCTGGTTGTAGAATGGTAATTTTCCAGCTGTACAAATATCAGTCAGTATTCTTTTGTATTTATGTGCTTTTTATCTGGAAACACTCATGGTTTCTATGTTAGTCAATGAGTTACAATTCATAACTTGTTTTTTCTTTTGTTCAGATTTCCTCGGAGTTGGCTAGCAGGAGACCCTTCCAAATTGGCTCCTATGTCCTTCTAGCATGCCTTAATTTTTTGGCACATAAAGAATTTAGCCCCATTTTGTTATTTTCCCTACTTCAGCTCTGGAATTGGGTGTTTTTCCAATGGTATGCAAAAACCAAGATCTGGTACTAGGCCTGTTTATTATTCCTTAGGTGTCTTTGCATATGCCTTTCAGAGGAAAGACCACATATACATGTACATAAATATATATTGGAAATCATGAGTTTGTACTATTAATCTACCGTTCCAAAACTATTTCCTTAGGGTTCTTCTTTAGCGTTTTCTGTGTTGCTTTCTGCCTTCTGCCACTGTGAGAACCCTGGCTGCTAACAACATCAGTGCATTACTCAGTCGCTCAATCCTATAGTGCATGGGAGAAATTTCAGAATCTATACCACTATGAAAAACAAACCTACCAAAAGGAATTCAGAATTTGCTAATAATATTTTTCCTCTACTCTGATCTATCTCAATTACTTCACCAGTATAAACAATACTAAAATTAATAACCTTCGATAAATACTTTCATATTGTTGACTGCATTTTTAGTGTAAATTCTTAGCTATGGGATCTGGCCTGTACCCCAGCTCTCTTATGAAAATAAATGGACAAATCTTTAAAAAAAAAAAAAAAACAGTAAATGCAACCTGATTAGTATATTATCTTATTGTGCAACAATTTGCCACAAATTTAACCGCTTAGAGAAACATTATTTCAAAGCTTCTGTGAGGTCTGGGCATGATTTAACTGGTGATCTATTTCAGGTCTTATGGGGATACAATCAGGATGTTTGCTGGGCTTTGCTCTCATCTGAAGGCTTGATAGTGGAAACATCTGCTTCTAAACTCATTCATGCTGGCAGAATGTGTTCTCATTGTGCTTGTAGGTCTGAGGGCCCTGACTTTGTTGACTCTGGTCTGGACTTCTGCTGCTACTCCTAGAGACCACTTCAGATGCTTGTTTTATAAGCCACTTACCTCACTGAGTCAGCAAGGAGAGTCTTTTGAGCAAGCAAGCTCTTCTAAGTGGAGTCTTTTTTTAACATCACAGGAATGGCAACTGTTTCAAGCAAGTCATAGGTCCCACATATATTTAGGGGTGGGGATTATAATATATATGAACACCAAGGGCTGGGGTCACAATTGAGAATCTGTCTGCCACAATTATTGTCACATATTCCTGTATGGGTATATTGTTTTGCCTTTCTACCAACAATGTATGAGTGTTTTTACTCAGAGCCATACCAACCATACTGTATTTTCAACCTTTTGTACATTTGTCAGTCTGATGGGTGCGAATTTATATCTTGGCATACTTTTAATTAAGATTTCTCTTTTAAGAATGAAGTAGAAGATCTTCATTTGTTTAATAGCTAATGTATCTTTTCTTATTTTGAAAATTGTATATTTATGTCTTCCCCCATTTTTGAAAATTGAAGTGAGATGCCCATAACAAAAGTAACCAGTTTAAACAATTCAGTGGCATTTAGTACATTCGCAAGATTGTGTATCCATTACCCTTACATAGTTCTAAAACATTTTCATCAACCCAGAATAAATCCTATACACATTAAGTAGTTACTACTTTCATTCTCTCTACCCCACACCCAACCTTTGGTTGTCAACAATTTTGACTAAGGGTGCCTAGATATGGTTTTTGTTATGTTTATCCTGCTTGGAATTTGCTTTGTTTCTTAGGGTTTGGGTTTGTGTAGATCATGAAATAAAAATTCTTTGCCTTACTTCTTCATATATTTCTCCTACCTTTTTCTCTATTTCCTTCTCTTCTATGACTCTGGTTCATGCAAAACTATTTGATATTTTCTTTTAGGTTTTAAGTGTTTTTTTTTTTTTTCATACAACCCTTCCCTCCTAACTTTTATATTTATATTTGGAGAGTTTCTGTTGAACTTATTTGAAGTTTTCTGCCTTTTATTATGTCATTCCCATGATAAGCCTTTTGAAATACTTATCCCTGATAGTATTTAAAATTTTTTTTTCCTAATACTTCTCCATGTTGTACATATATTTTCCTGTGTGTGTATCTCTCTGCTGAAATTTCCTATTTGTATATTTGATCTACCATTTAATGCTTTAGTATATTTTTTATGGTTATGTTTAAGTCCAACAATATGCTCTTTGTAGATCAGCTCTGTTAACACTTCCATAACAGTAGATTACATTTTCTTCCATGGATGTTTTATAATTTTTTGATCAGATGCCTGGTACGGTACATAAAGGAACAGTAGAAACTCGCAAAGAATGTTGGCAACCACAAAAAAGGCATTCATTCCTCTTTTGCAAGCTACCAGTATGAGGGGCCTAAGTGAATCTCTTAAGTGTTTTTAATTTATATTATAAGTGCATGATGAGCTGCTTCAAACAATTAAGAAAAATTTGTCCATAAATTTACTGTCTAGAAATATGGCAGTGAAAGCAATATGGTAACTTTGTAAAAAAGCAAAATAGTTTCTTAATTCCATCTCCATCTCACCTTTTGTTTCATGCACATTGATTTTAGTATCTTTCTTGCAGAAGAAAAATAGGAAGATCTTTGCAATATTAAGAAATATTTAAAAAAAAAAAAAAGAAATACTTTCAAGGCAAGAAATACTTTCAAGTTACTTCTTCAGTCATAAATGAACTACTTATATGTACAGGAAACCACTGGTATAATGATATTGTTATCTGCAAAGGATAGGATTTAAGCTTTTTCGTTGTTTAGTCAGCCTTTAATATGTGACAGTTGCTAATCCACCTTGTTAGAATACCTATATGTCTATATGCTGTGTACACTGTCTTTAGCTGAATAAATGTTAAGAAAAGTACCCAGTAGTTATCACCAGTAATTTTTTGACATGCTGTGCTAAAATTACCTTTTGAACACACAGTTGAAGAGATAATGGATTTCATTACTTTTTTATTCCATGTTGATAAGATGCAACTGACTTTCAGTTCTATAAATATTTCTTCAAATTTGTAGTGTTCTGAAATAGCCCAGTAAACTAGTAATGTTGGAAGTATAGATGAATTTATCCTTTTTCCATTTATGTTATCACTTAAAAAAAGACCACTGTTTATTTTTATTTATTTATTTTTGCATATCTGATGTGTACAAGATTAAGTGATATAGGTTATTCACTACCTTTTTTGCTTTGTGCTATATTGATATAAATTAGGAGAAAAAAAATTTTTTAAAGATTTATCTATCTATTTATTTATCTATTTATTTATTTATACAAGCACTGG